AACAACAGATATTTATATTTGTGCACAAATATGTTACTTTCGTTTGCTCACAAATTGTGCTCGTTTGTGCTGCAAAAATATTATTTGTAAAAAAATAATATCAGATCATTAAGAGGTCTCTCCACCCCAGTTGCTACGTTTACTAAAAGAGTCTCATTTGTGTTATGACATATTTAAAAAATTGCAAATATATGACAGAAGATTGTAATACAATATGAGGCATATTAAATTCATAGGCCTACTTTCCACTGACTGAAAATTATCCACCCGCACAGTTGGCCTCAAACTAAAATATAATTCGTATATTTTTTTTTTTAAAAAATATCTTTTTGAAACAAATTTCGCATATAGTTTGTCTCTTTAAAAGCCGCTTTTCCAATCGTTCGGATCCTTTTTAGGCTCACATTCCGTGCTAAACCAGGCAAGACAGCAAATCAATTTTATTTGCAGGGAAAATTACCAAAATTTAACGTGATGAATGAAAATGATTGGAGGGGAAATAAATGTATCAAAAATTTCATACATTACAGAAAAATAAACAATGATAATAAAACAATAATAGTGCATTTGTATTATAGTGGCAGAATTATATTTTTGACAGGCCTTGGGCAAAGTAAGCGGGCACTTTCACTAATAAAAAATATAGCACTTAAATTATTTCATTTTTAACAATCAATAAATTACACAGAGGTTTTATATGAAAAGTTGATAAAAATATAAAATATACATTTTGTTGGTAAAATAACCATTTAAACAATGGCTGTTATTTATTTTAGTATTCAAACATTAAATACCGATTTTTTTCAAGTGAAATAAAAATGAAAATGAAACAACAGCATATCAGGATGTAAAGCATATTCATATTAAAGCAATTCCTGGTTGAGATTTTAGAAAATATAGCTACCCAGTATATATTAAAGATCACAGAGAAATTACATGTCCCCAAAAATGTCCAGCTTATATTTAACTGAATTGTATAAATATTGAAAATTGCTCATTTTATTTTTATTAAACATTTGTTATTTTTTATTAGCAAAAACAATATCAACATTCAAGAATCTATATTTATTTCATTCATTCATTCGACTTGTTTATTGTTGCATATATAGACTATAATTTAAATTATACAACAGTACCTTGGACAGCTACAGTGCCACTAAAGCTTTCAAACAAAAGTGCAAAAAATTAAAGTTTTAAAGTTTAAATTAATTTTCTCCGGTGACGGCCGACATCACAACACGCCGTATAACCATCCCTCAGGTGGTAGCCTATAGCCGGCATTAAATTACAAAACAAGCTGTCTGGGCCTTGAATTAAAAAAGTTTAGTTATTTCCTCATTGTTTAAAGAGTCTACAAGTTATTAAATATAAAATAAATATAAAAATATTAATAATAATGACAATAATAAGAAGATAACTAAGGATAACTAAAATATGACAAAATATTACATGTTTATCTTTTATTAAACCAAATCAAAATGGTCAAAATAACATCCTACAGCCCTTGATAAAAACGCACAGTGTTTACCAATTGTGAATGTAAATATTTTATATGATTGTTGTTATTGTTATTATTATTATTAATTGTAATTAATTAATCAATTATTTATTGTTATTTTATTGCCATTTGGACATTGTTCTTTTAATGTATGACAAACAACTCAATCACGATAACCAAAACTTATCTGTAGAAAACGCATAGCCTATGTGTTTGCATGTGTTATAATCTTTTTTTTCCCATAAAATAAATATTGACTAAATAAGTCCACTAAAGCTGCTTTACTTAATCATAAGTGGTAGGCCTACCTACCACAACAGAAAAGTTTAGGCTGCTTGTTTAAATACGAAAGCAGCCTAATATGGACGACCAGATGATAAAAGTATTTAAGAGAAAAATCGCTGCATGGTTAAACAGGTAAAAAAAATGTATATTAATACATTTTTATAAAATAAATAAATAAAATTAATACAAATTATATATATTTTTTTAAATTATTTTTTCCTCTATCGTTAAGCATGCTGGCTACTCATATGAGACTAAAACGAAGTAGTTAAGTAAAGGGTTGTAGCCAATTATCTTTATATTGGCCAAGCCCTTTTACTTGGATTAAATCTGTCAAAATTATGTTCGCATCCTTCATGCTTTTTCTAATAATAAAAAGATCTCAGAATAACCTTGGCCTAGGCTATCTAAAAAAATAAAGCATCTTAAATAAAATTTCTATCAGCCCAAACAAATTTAAATATTTTAAAATATGCGGGTATCTGATATCATTATCTTTCATTCAATATTTTAATAAAAGAAGCAACACTAACGAAACTTTCAGGTACGATCCAGCACAAATGAAACGCACACATACGAGACTCTTTTAGTAAACATGTAGCAACTGGGGTGGAGAGACCTCTTAATGATCTGATATTATTTTTTTACAAATAATATTTTTGCAGCACAAACGAGCACAATTTGTGAGCAAACGAAAGTAACATATTTGTGCACAAATATAAATATCTGTTGTTCATTTTCATGGCACAAACCAGCACAAATCTAACCAAATATTTTGGTTAAATCCAAACAAGGAAAATAGATAAGTGTTTATAAACGGCACAACCAGCACAACTGAATGACTGTTTGGTGCAATATTACGTCGCGGCTCCCAAAGTGTTTTGATTAGGCAATATCTAAACAATACAAACAGATAAAGTGTTTATTTTAATGGCATAAACCAACACAAATCCAGCACTAAAGAGTGTCACCTGTTTTGTGCATTTTAGAGGAAATAATGGGGCGCTGAGTGACGTGGCGGCTCCCGAAATGTTTTAATTAGGCAATATCTAATCAATAAACATATAAAGTGTTAATTGTTATTGCACAAACCAGCACAAATCCAGCACTAACGTATGACACCTGTTTTGTGCAATTTAGAGGAAATAATGGGGCGCTGAATGACATCGCGGCTCCCGAAATGTTTTGATTAGGCAATATCTAATCAATAAACATAGATAAAGCGTTTATTTTAACGGCACAAACCAGCACAAATCCAGCACTAACATATGACACCTGTTTTGTGCAATTTAGACAACCTGGGGTGGAGAGTGACGTCACGGCTCCCGAAATGTTTTGATAAGGCAATATCTAAACAATAAAAATAGCTAAAGTGTTTATTTTAACGGCACAAACCAGCACAAACCGAGCACAAACGAATGAGACCAGTTTGGTGTGATTTAGACAACATGGGGTGGAGAATGACGTCACGGCTCCCGAAATATTTTGGCTATATCTAAACAACGAAAATAGATAAAGTGTTTATATTAACGGCACAAACCAGCACAAACCCAGCACAAACGAATGATACCAGTTTTGTGCAATTTGGAGGAAATGGGGTGGAGAGTGACGTCACGGCTCCCGAAATATTTTGCTTATATCTAAAAGAGGAAAACAGATACCGTGTTCGTTTTAACGGCACAAACCAGCACAAACCGAGCACAAACGACCTGTGCTGTTTTGAAGTCAATTGCGCAACATGGGGTGGAGAGTGACGTCACACGGTTAAAAAAATAATGCTTAATATCTCAGACCCCAAACCAGCACAAACGTTCGTTTTTGCGGCACAAATCAGCACAAACGTAGCACAAACGAATGGCATAGTTTTGGGGATTATTTGTTTTTATGGGGTGCCAACTTCACGGAGGTATCAAACCTATACAACAGGGTTTCAAGCAAAATAATGATCAGTATGATATTATACAGATCTTATAAACTTGTGTATTAAATATGATTCGTGCTGCTTAATAGGGTAAAGAAGGTCACATTAACCACATACACTCGCGGAAGACGACGTGTTGCTTGGCAACAGCAGAACGCGTTCTAACGGTTCTACATGGTCTGCTGACGCGCGTAAACTCGGCTTCAGTAATCTGCAGGAACAAGAAATGAAGGTTGATTGTAAAAGTTGCTCTCGGTCGATAAACACATCGAGCAAAACAGTTGAGCGATTTCAGACGATGTCTACAAGACCTTTCAAGTTTCTAGCAGGAATCGAAAGTTGTAAGACCTTGACGGGTAAGTCCAGACACTAAGAACACGTGTGTTTCATATTTGCCTGTTTTATATTATTAAATGTTTGATACTAAAACTCTAATTTTACTCTCTAGAAATACTTATTTTGGACTCTTACTTACGACCATGCAATATTACACTGCTAAAAATCAATTTGACGGTCTTTTTACAAATGAAAACAGCTTTAAACCGTTTGTGTGTATATTCAGCTGTGTTTGTTTAGCCGAAATATGGCGATCATAACTCCATAACCTGACGGTACACAGAGGTGTTTTCAGAGAATCCTGAATATAAATGCAGATTCAGTGTTTTAGCAAACAACATCAGTCAGTTTAATACAAAAACACCAGAGTAAAATGCAGATAACAATACTTGAGTCAAAGTCAAACTCTTCCTAACGAATATATAATGATTTATAATGTATAATGGTGAAAATGTTCATTTTAATACACGGGCAGCTATACCATACTAATAATGAATGATAATTTAATTGTGCAAACGAGCAAAACTGTGACTCAGGACCCAGGTCTTATGTTGGCAACAGCCAAACACATGACAAATACAGGCCCGGAGTCAGTCTGGTGAAAGAGCTGATTCTTTATTTTTACCAAAATGTAGACCTTTTTGCAGTTTTTGCCTCTTTCATGAGGCTTAAATATTGCATTTTAGTGACATTTTAAGCTGGATTAGCTTGTCGGATGGTCATCATAACCACATCTTTCAATTAACCAAAATATTTCCTAAAGATTTAGAATGATCGGCTTGGTTCAATGGGTTATTTTCACAATTTATGATGATGTAACAGTCAAAATAGGACAGTTGAGCTCATGTATAGGACACCCCCACCCTCCCCCCGGCTACAGGCATGAAATATGACAAAGAAACACAAAAACATGAGAATATTATGTTCATGTTTCATTAAGATTATAAACAGACTTGCTACAATAAATTTATTTTAAAAAACACTTGATAATGTTTGATATTTATAATAAGCATTGCTAAGAACTTTGACAATTTAAAAGGTGATTTTCCCAATGTTTGGATTTGGAACTCTCAGATTTTTTCAATTGAAATCTGGTTGAATTAATGACATTAAACATCAGGATTTAGGTTAAGAGTTTATTGTTCGTTGTGTTGTAATCCACATTAGGAGAAAGAAGAGGAATGAAGCGGAAAGCGGATAATGATTTTCAGAGTGTTTCTGGTGAAGGCAAACCGTATGCTCTGAGGAAACGCATCAAACTTTCAGAGATGGAGAACACAAGAGACACAGAGATGACCAGCTATGAGGAGAAAACCAGTTCAGGTTTGTCTCCTGCCACAGATCAACACTTCAGATCATCTGCCTTGTATTTGTACATTGTAAGAGTCTATTGTTTGTTGTGTTGTAATCCACATTAGGAGGAAGAGGAGAGAAACGGAAAGCGGATGATGATTTTCAGAGAGTTTCTGGTGGAGGTAAATCATACGCTCTGCGGAAACGCATCAAAGTTTCAGAGATGGAGAACACAAGAGACACTGAGATGACCAGTTTTCAGGAGAAAACCAGCTCAGGTGTGTTTCCTGCCACAGATCAACACTTCTACAGCTTCATCACCATAATGTGTTACCACTTAAACTTCTGAAACATGAAGCAGCAAGGTTCATACGGTCATGGAAAACCTGAAAAAGTCATGGAATTTTGTCATGGCATTTTCCAGGCCTGGAAAGGTTTTGGAAAAGTCATGGAAATTACATTTACATTTAGTCATTATTATTATTATATTTATTATTATTATTATTATTATTATTATTGCTCCATATTTTAAGTGACCTTCTATTGGTCTCACTCAATCACCTGATGTGATTTCGCAGGTAAGAACTTGAGCTTTCGTATGCAGTGAAATGCGAAACACGTGCTTGTATTTCTGGTCTGCTGTATTCGCATGCCTATGAATGTCAGTCTATGGAGAGAAAAGTGCAGCGTGACCGCAGCTTTACAATAGAAGTAGTTTTATCTACTATTACTAGTTTAACAGACTATTAAGATGATCTCAAATTAGTTTGACATATGTCTGTATATTGGAATAAGGTTTAGTTGTTTTTGCCTATTTTCTTGGCCAAAAACACGCTCTCGCATTATTAGTGCTGTGTAAGCATCATCTGTTTTACATAGATATTAAAATAAATTTAAACTATTGTGTGTTTTATGATATGCTGTAATAAATTTTAACGTTTTTTTTATGGTTTACCACATATATGTAGACATTACATCAAACATTAGGTCATGAAAATTGACTTTAAAGTCCTGGAAAACTCATGGAATTTGTACGAACCGTGAAGCAGCATGCAAAGTATTGACTCAGTTAGCTGGTAAATCCAGTGAGCATGGGGATATTTTGGCAATTAGGCAAAAATACATTGTCTGGATCAAAGTGATTGATTTATCTATTATGCCCAAAATTATTCAATTATTATGTTATGATCATGTTTCATTAAGTTCAACACTTTCTACTGTAAACATGTCAGAACTCAATTGTTGATTTGAACTTAATTTGGCCACTTTAAAGGTGATTTTCTCAATCTTTAATTTATTTGAGATCGCAACAGAAATCTGGAATGAATAAATGACAATAAATAAACATGACGATTAATTGAAGAGTTTATTGTTCATTGTGTTGTCATCCACATTAGGAGGAAGAGGAGAGAAGCGGAAAGCAGATGATGCTTTTCAGAGTGTTTCTGGTGGAGGCAAACCATCTGCCCACCGGAAACGCATTAAAGTTACAGAGCTGGAGAACACAAGAGAAGACACCGACACAGAGGCGTCCAGCTCAGGTCAGCCCACTCTTTATGACTGGAAAATGCTGGAAAACTATTAGCAGTGCTGTCATTTGTTAAATCCCAGAGTAAAATAAACAGCAATTAATGAAAGAACTGATTATTAATAGTTCATTATTGACTGTGATCCACATCAGGAGGAAGAGGAGTGAAGAGGAAAGCGGATGATGATTTGCAGAGTGTTTCTGACAGAGTCAAACCATACGCTCTGCGGAAACGCATCAAAGCTGCAGAGACGTCCAGCGATGAGAACAGCCGCTCAGGTCAGTCTCCCGTCACTCTTCTACAGTTGTATGAGCATATATATGTCAGCTTAAAGGCACAGTGCACGACGACACAAAGCAGCAGAGCTTTTATTATGCCACAGTCCAGCGCGTCTGGTTCTTCAGCTCGTGATCACGTGTGCTGTTTTATCAGACTAAATACATGTTTTGCTTCTGTTATAATGCTGCTCTGTGCTGTCAAATAAAACACAAACATATTAAAACCTCGCTAAACAAACAGAGCAGAAATAGAGGATGTGTGACGTCATTAGCATGAACACACACACTGGCTGTGTCTAAAATCACACACTTCCATACTAAATAGTACATTAAGACAGTATGTGAGCCGAGTAGTATGTCTGACCTCACAGTATTTGTAAAACAGCATGTGAGAAGTACCCGGATGACCTACTACAACTGGAGAGATTCTGAAGTGCGCATCCAGTGGACGCTACACTATCCCATAATGCACCGCGAGAGAATTCCTGAATGGGACTGAATTCATGAATCACTCTTCTAGTGGTTTTTGGAGATTTTAATGGAAAAAGTCTCACATAATGCACCTTTAAAACTGTGAATGATGCAGTTTTGTGCAAAGTGTTTCTCAGTAGAGCTTCATGACAAAACATCTGGAAACTATTAGCACTGCTGCCATTTGAACAGATCCCCAAATACAATAAATGCCAATTAATGAAAGAACAGCTCATTAATAATGCATTATTGACTGTAATCCACAGAAGTTCCAAGAGGACAGAAGAGAAAGGCTGGATGTCTAGATCAGGACAGCAGAAATCTGGACACAGTTGCTGCCAAACGAGTGAAAACAGCAGCAGAAGACAGCAGCTCAGGTCAGTGTGCATTATGAAGCTGTAGAGGCGCTATATTGACATATATGATAATATCACAATATTTTAAAGAAAATCCTCATTCATGATTTGATCAAAGCTCTTTTGTGATGTTTTTATTTTCATTTTCATTATCTGTACATTTGTTTTGAGTTATTATTGTGAATATAGTTTGAGTTATTTCAGTCATGTGACTTAAAACTATGAATGTGCGCTCTGATCCGCTAATTCAGTCTATTAATTTAGCTTACTTTTATTGATCTTTTATCCTCTTACATGTGATTTTCTTAATATTTAGATGTTTGAATCCTCAGATTCCAGATTTTCTGGAATGAAGATATGGCAATAAAAGACATGATGGTTTTCATTTAAGAGTCTATTGTTTGTTGTGTTGTCATCCACATTAGGAGGAAGAGGAGTGAAGCGGAAAGCGGATGATGATTTTCAGAGTGTTTCTGGTGAAGGCAAACCATACGCTCTGAGGAAACGCATCAAAGCTGCAGAGCTGGAGAACACAAGAGACGACGCCGACACAGAGGCGTCCAGCTCAGGTCAGTCCACTCTTTATGACTGGAAAATGCTGGAAAACTATTAGCACTGCTGCAAATTTTGAGCAATAATAATGCTGTCAATAATGATTGATGGATGAGTAAAGTATTATCATGGAGTCTGAAGCAGAGTAAGGCTAAAAGCAGTGAAGTGAAATCTGAGAAATGCTGAAGCAGTTGCTGATGAGAGACGACAGTGAAGCGGCAGCAGAGCTTTTATTATGCCACAGTTATTCTCATGATCGCTGATGATTTCTCTGCATTTGAGCATTTTTCATGATGTTTGGCAGAATATAAGTACAGGATTCAGCAGAGTATATACTACTGTTAATAAATATAAAAGTCTTACATGATGTGCCTTAAACTGGGAACTATGCAGTATTGTGCAAAGCGTTTCTCAGCAAAGTTTTATGACAGAGTAAAACGTCTAATAATACTAATAATGCGTAATACTAATAATGAAAGAACGGCTTATTAATAATTTATTATTGACTGTAATCCACATCAGCTCTAAGAGGACAGAAGAGAAAGGCTGAATGTCTTGATCAGGACAGCAGAAATCAGGACACTGTGGCTGCCAAACAAATGAAAACAGCAGAGATCCAACATGGCGGCAGCAGCGGCGGGAAAACTGCAGCTGAAAACAGCAGCCCAGCTGAAAACAGCAGCCCAGCTGAAAACAGCAGCTCACCTGAAAACAGCAGCCCAGCTGAAAACAGCAGCTCACCTGAAAACAGCAGCCCAGCTGAAAACAGCAGCTCACCTGAAAACAGCAGCACAGCTGAAAACAGCAGCACAGCTGAAAACAGCAGCTCACCTGAAAACAGCAGCACAGGTGAAAACAGCAGCTCACCTGAAAACAGCAGCACAGGTGAAAACAGCAGCCCAGCTGAAAACAGCAGCCCAGCTGAAAACAGCAGCTCAGGTGAAAACAGCAGCTCAGCTGAAAACAGCAGCCCAACTGAAAACAGCAGCTCAGCTGAAAACAGCAGCTCAGGTCTGTCTTCTGTCATAATGATTTCTGTCTAATCTGCAGTCGGGTTTTGGATTTTTTTTTATAGTTTTACAGAAATATCTCAGGATTAGAGCAGAACACTCACAGAAATAATGTCATAAATGTGATTCACTTTACTCCAGGATCTATACTTGACAAATATGTGCTTGGAGAGAAGCTGGGACAGGGAAACTGTGGCACTGTCTATCTGGCTACACGGAAATCTGATGGCCAGAAGGTAACGGTCACTTCAACTCTGCAGTGGTCTTTGTGTGTGTGTGTGTGTGTGTGTGTGTGTGTGTGTGTGTGTGTGTGTGTGTGTGTGTGTGTGTGTGTGTTTTATGCAGGTCAGATCAGACATCTCTCTGGCTTAAATAAGTTTTGACTTTATGCTTTCTTTGCAGGTTGCCATAAAAGTTGTGAATAAGGACTTAAGGAGTTTCGGATACTGGTACACTATGGTAAGTATGCATACTCTACTGAAAATATATGAAGGGAACAGATGACCTCCATGTTTAGTCATTTTGAGATGTCGTGTTTTTATTTACACGCTTTATGGAAATGGCTGAAACTGCACATGTTTAGTCATTTCCAGAAATCTTGTGTTTACTGAGAATATTACAGAGTTTCTGGAAATGTCTAGAACTGGGGGTTATCTGTTTCTGCAGATGAACTGTGGAGCACAAAACCAGTCATAATGTCCAGAAACTGAGATTTGCGTATCATCTGAGAGATCAATAAAGAGGCTTTTTGATAATGTTTGCTTTGTTAGAACAATATTGATGGAGATGCGGCTGTTTGACAATCTGGAACATGAAGAAAATCTTAATATTGGGAAAATCAGCTTTAAAGTTAATAACTTAAACTACATTTCACATTTCCATGTAAACTCCTTCTCCTCAGTCTCTTTATTAATCTGGGGTCGCCACAGCGGAATGATCCACCAAATTATCCAGCATATGTTTTACAAAGTGGATGCCCTTCCAGCTGTAGCCATCACTGGGAAACACCCATACACACTCATTCACACACATAAATACACGACAGACAATTTAGCTTACCCAATTCACCTGTACCGCATGTCTTTGGACTGTGGGAGAAACCAGAGCACCCGGAGGAAACCCACGCGAATGCAGGGAGAACATGCAAACTCCACACAGAAACGCCAACTGACCCAGCCGGGGGTCGAACCCGCGACCTTTTTACTGTGAGGTGATTGTTCTACCCACTGCCCCACATCAGATCAATAAGAAATGCACAAATTATATATTGAAACCAAATCTTTACGTAATTGAAGTCCAGGGTCCCCGCGGGTCTTTAAAAAGTCTTGAAACGTCTTAAATAAAATTTCAGATTTTTTCGATTTGTAATTTTCCATAAGGAGGTCTTAAATTTCATGTGGGATCTTAAGTTTCATGTCTGACTCGTCATTTTTATTAGATTTTTTCAACCGCAATTTGACCAGCGCAACATTTGGGGGCAGCACTTCGTGGGTGCAACTTGCATCATTCTATAGGTGACATACGAGTAAGTGATTGATGAAAGCGTTGTGTTGTTGGTTCGCCACCTCGACATTTTGCGAAATCGCAAGCGTGGGCAAATGGTTGTTTGATGACAATTGGTTGGAGGACGAAAAGTATCAGGGGTGGCTGAAAAAAACAGCCAAAAATCATGAAGGGAATTGTGCTTTATGTTAAAAGACGATAAAACTGGGGACAATGTGCCATAAAGCGCTCTATTCACACAAGAAAGCAGAGAAGCACAAGAAGTATGTCGCAGGCAAGTAGTTTGCCCATAAGTATGTTCTCATCGAGCACTTCGACCTCTCAGCCTTTCACAAGGCCGTCCACTTCAAGCAATGCCTTCAGCAGCTTTGCGAATGTAGCTGCACTTAAGGCCGAAATACTGTGGGTGTTTCAAACCGTAAGCTGCCACCACTCGTACAAAGTTTTCGCATCCCTTTGACCTGTCTTGAGCGTGGCTCTGGTGAGTTTTGCTAATGCTTCAACACATCATTCTGTGTAGTCACACTGAACATTTTCCTGTTGTGTTTTTTGTTTAGGTCAGGGGTCAGCAACCCGCGGCTCTAGAGCCGCATGCGGCTCTTTAGCGCTGCCCTTGTGGCTCCCTGGAGCTTTTTCAAAAATGTTTGAAAATGCAAAAAGATGGGGGAGGTTAATATATTTTTTTGTTTTAATATGATTTCTATAGGAGGACAAACATTATTAACATTTTCAAATGCTGTCAAAGTGTGTAGAATTAATATTTAATTTCAACATTTCTGTCAACGAAGATTTGCGTCATAGCCTGCGACACACGTTTCTATCAGCAGGGTGGGATGCCAGGCAAGTGGCTGTTGTAAACAAACCAGGAGATTATAAAGCATGGAAAACCGTTCAAAGATGGTATGACATATTAGAACACCTATTTGCAAACTTTAAAAACAAAACCAAGATAATTCAAAAAAATAAAGATATACCTTTCTCCACTAAGACAGTGAAGGAAAGGGCTATTAAAATGGTAGGTAATATCACCGATCAGCAAACCAAGGACATTAATTCAGTGCCAGCATACTCAATTGCCTGTGATGTGACCGATATTCAACGCGCTTTTATGCAGGTATGTGAACTCTGATGGGCCGCAAGAAGAAATGATCAAATTAATAACACTAAAAGACAAGAGGCTGTGCTGAAGTGTTTTAATGACAACAAATTTAATTTAATCTAAGCTATTTAATCATGAAGGCTCATTATGTATTTGTAGCCAATTTAGTCATTTTGATAGTAGGCTAATATAGATACATACAGCATGTGTTTCCTTCATAAGGCTTATATAAGGCTTTACATTTTTTGTGGCTCCAGACATATTTGTTTTTTGTTATTTTTGGTCCAATATGGCTCTTTCAACATTTTGGGTTGCCGACCCCTGGTTTAGGTAAAGTCTTCAATTTTCCTCTTAGAGGATTTTAAAAGGTCTTAAAAGTTATTAAATTTCCTGTTAAATATGTGCAGATACCCTGAAGTCATCATTTTGAGTTTTCCCCAAAATATATCTGCGTGACAAAAGACTGGTTTAGTGGTCCAGGGTCACATGTAGTGTTGAATTTGAGGTAATATGTGAAAATAGCTCTGTTTCCATCCACCTGTTTCATGCGCATTTAGGATTATCACATAAACAAAGCTTTATGAAAACGCCAAGATGCACATACATGTTCTCATGCACATAATTGACTAAGAGAAAATTTGATTCCAGAGGAAATAATGTGCAAAAACTAGTTTAGAAGCATTTTTACCAAATAAATTCCAGCATGCACTTAAAAACAGTAATGTGATTGTGTTATAAGACATGATGATATAAATGTGTGTTTGAGGGTTTTTGCGTCAGTAATGTTGGTTTGCAGCTTTCCATTGTTGCAGATCTGAAATGTTGTTCTGCTGATTGTAAAAGGCCTCAGCCCTCTAGTATCATTCTCTAGTATCAGGCCTTCTTCTAGTATCATTCCCTCCAGAATAGTCTTGAGCATCTGTCTGTGCTCCCGTCTCACGTCTCCAAAAGCCACCGCATTCACCGTGTTCATTTCGTTTGGTCTTCTTAAGCGAAACTCATTTCTCTGACTGATATTTGCCGCCAGTTTGTAAGGCAGTGATGATTTTGTTCTCTTTGACTCATTGATGGAAACGCTGCTTTATTCGTGAATCTTTATTTGTGTTGCGCATAAATGTAATCTGCATCTTTATATGGAAACACAGCTAGTGACACATTATAATGTCATTTATATATTTGACACTCACATCAAACCTTTTCCTGACTTGATTTTTCTCTAGAATGGACGTACTATCCCGGAAGCATATCATATGATGGTCCTCAAGGAACCTCCGCTCTGCCCGCACATCATTGAGCTGTACGAGTACGCCATGGAGGGAAGGAATAACTACCTGGTCATGGAGTACGCGTCCTCGTACATAACCTTGGATAAATTCATCAGGAAGAACAATGGCCTCCTGAGTGAGAGTGTTGCGCGGCAGCTGATCATGCAGCTCATTATCGCAACACAGCGCTGCCTTGAGCATGGCATAGAACATGAGTCCATACATAAAGAAAACATCCTGGTCAATCCAAAGACCCTGCAGCTCAAGCTGATTGATTTTGGCAACAGTTATTATACTCAAAAAGGCTACTGGAGATCCCCCTATCTTGGTGAGTTGCCTTTTAAGTGCTGCTTATTAAAGGGAAAGTTCACATAAAAATGAAGATAGTTTTAGTAATGAATAACTCTCATGTCGTCCTGAACATCTGAGACCCCTGAACACAAATGAAGATATTTAAGATGAAATCTGAGAGCTCTATAGACAGCAAGGGTCTATAAAAGGACCCTAAAGCATCCTCAAAACAGACCGTATGCCTTTAGTGGTTCAATCAGAGCATTATCAGACTCTGAGAATACTTTTATTTCCACATAAAGCTAAAATAACGACTTTATTGAACAGGTTCTCATCCTCAGTGTCAGTATATTGCGCACAATCAGGACAGCTTTGAGGCTTTCACGCATGTTGCTCTCAGTTGCACTGCTGATGTATCATCTCGGATGCGCCTGTGCTTTCTTCCAATCAGAGGAGGACATCAGCGGTGTACGCCACTACACAGAGCTCTTCTGAGTGTGCGCAATATACTGACACTGAGGACAACAAACTGTTCAATAAAGTCATGATTTTCAGTTAAACTACTGAAGGCAAATATTGTCAGAGAGCTCTCGTGTTTCTTCTAAAACATCTTCATTTGTGTTCAGAAGCTGAGCGTGGGTCTCAGGGGTTTAGGACGACGTGAGGCTGAGTAATTAATAACAATTACTTTTTTGGGTGAACTGACCCTTCATCTGTAATCTCCTGTGTATGTATGGCGATGTCAAGAGTGCAAAGATATTGTAATTACTAACATGAAAATCTCTACCTTGCAGGAGTAACGAGATACCGTCTACAGGAGGGGGAACCCTACAGATCCATTCGTTTTGCTGTTGATTCACATGTCATGGCTGTTTTACTAATGCTGTCCTATATGGTCAATGGATATTTCCCTTACTCCAGATATAAACGTCCACGATTTCACCCCAGATTGTCAGCAGGTGAGAAAACAGCACTACACATGGTGCAGCTCATGGGTGTCGCTAGGCCTCTTATTTTCACTCAGCCCCCCTAAAGGTTTTGGGATTAACTCATGAATGGTCCACAGCTAAATTATCGCCTCAGTCCCCTTTCAATTTCATATGAAAACGGCAGCAGACTTCAGCTCCTCCGTTTTTAACTCATTTTTCATTTAATCAGCAAAGCCGTTCCGAGTGAGAGCAGAAGCTGTGTGTTTATCGGTAGACTGGTATAATATCAGCATGTTTGCAGTTCTTTGCTGTAGAAACTCTTGTATCACTTGTACCCCAATCGGGTTTCCCATCTACTATTTCCTCAGCGCTCCTCTCATCATCACAGCTGTTTCCTCCAGCGAACATGTAACTCTTAACCAACATTTCACTATGTTATTTCAAAATGAACTCTGAATATAAAACACATGACGGTGCATGTGGCATTAACTACAGCACACCTTCATGCACAGAAGCGCTCAGTGAATGCACTCATTTTACCTGCACGTCATGTGACATCATCGGACTCAAATTAATTTCTGATTTTGACTTATATTATGATTATGAAACATGTAAATTAGCCTGTATTATTTTTATATGTTTATATTTAGGCCATTGTGAATGAGAAAAGTAAAATGTACTGGAGTATAGAAAGTGGTTTGTACCACAGTAAACAGGTGTGTTGAGCCGATTTCACTCATCCAGAACTCAAATGGCTCTGCCTGCCTATGAAATACAGTGGAATACTGCTAGTTTAGTATACAACCCTGCCATATTAGTCTGTCTTCATGTGTATTCATTTTAAATTATTACTTAAAATGTGTTTATCAGGCCAATATGTATAACAGTTGGACAGGAAACAGCTGGACATCATGTCTGTAAATAAAAGCTGTCAGATTAGATGCACAATTTATTGTCTTTTTTACTATAATTTTCCATAAAATTCATAAATAACATTATTTATTTTAAAAACAAATAAATGCACAATTAAATAGCAATTTTCATACAAGTGCTGTATAGTCAGTAGACTGCCGCATGCTAAAGGATTTTAAATGCAGAGGCAAAAGCACACAGTAATGCAATGATAATCCCACTTATTACATGGTCATTTTCCAAATTAAAGTAGTATTGCAGCACAATATTTGACTAAATCTCCGTCTGATATGACTCGTCGTGTGTTTGATATTATAGCTCATAGTAACATGTGTTAGCTTCATCATCTCGTATTTGCGAGTTGGTTGATCCCCATTGGCTCCAGATGAAGCACACGTCCAATGAAAGCTTCAGCGATAGTCACCGAGTTGGTTACTGCTAATGTTTGAGTGTGGCGCATTCATCTGGAACTGTGCTAATAACTGACTGAAACTAACTGTGTATTTAATGATTTTATTGGACGACTTCCAGCCAATCAGAATCAAGAATTTCACCAGACCATTGAATAAATCTCTGTGTTGTGTCATCATCAAGAGCATCCATGACTAACATGTTCTCTCTTTACTATTTCTGCAGAATGCAAGGATCTTCTTCGGTGGATAATCAGTTACCACCCTCGAACAGGACCTGTTTTAGAGGAGATTATAGAGCACAAGTGGTTCAGCATGACGTAGAGCCCATCAGCAGCAGGAAACAGGTTTTATACTTCCATTTACGTCAGATTGTTTTGCTGTTTTCCGCTTCTGCTTCCCAAATTCTGCACTTCCTCCTGCGAGTGTTGCAGTCAGAGCTGCATGTAAATGAGGGCCGGTTGAAGCGTCCCTATTGGTCCACCAGCTCTAGACCGACAGCTCCTCCTTTAGCCAATCAGGTGAGGAAGGAAGCTGATGTCAGTCTAATGGCGGCCGATGCGCACAGGCGACGCCGGAGATTGAGTGTTAGCGCTAATCCTCAGCTGGGGTAGAATGTGTCTGCGGCAGGACAGCATTAATCGTTTGAAATAAGTAAAGGAAAGCAGGTTCATTCACGTTTAGACAGGACGTAGTGTTTTATATGAACTGGGTTAGCACCGACTGTAGAGTAAATATTCATATTAAGGGAAATAATCACAGATTAATAAATGAAACTGCTGGAAAGGGGGATTTATTAGCATACTGGTTTGGTTTATTTCTCTAGCTGTAGGATTAATAGTAAACGGTAAAGTCTGTGTATTATTACTGTAGTGCGTCAATACTTTATAAAGACAGAAAGCCTGGTTTAGACAGTGCTCGTAGCTCTAACGGGACTTTAGGCAGGTTTAAGTGAGATAAGCGCATATAACAGGGGCGTCGTGGGCCGGTTTTGAAGGCGTTTTCTCTTTAACAGATAGGATAGGGTGGTGTAGATGGCGCTGACGGGGCAGGATTATATGGGCCGATACGCTAGATATAAGAGCCTCCTGCCACAGACAGATTTTAGCCCAGCTGTGGATTTGTCAGATCTGATGAGGATTATTTCTAGTGCTGCTGCTCTCATCTTTCTGCTTTCTTCTTCTTCTCACTTGTTCTCCAAGCGAGCGCTGGATTTCTGCAGATTAGCTTTAACATAAACCAGCAGCTCAAATAGTTTAATTTTAACCGCAGGGTTTGGTAAATAACAGCATTTTAGTCAAGACTGGGGGATTTAGATAGTGTTTATGGACACAAGTGTAGTTTAGAGTTGGACTTTGTAATAGATTTATTGATATTATTAAGCTCATTGATAATGTTGTGGAAATCCTGTGCTCGTTTGTAGAAATTCATTGGTCCTCATTGATGAAACATTTGTAAATATCGGAGTAAGTTAGTGATAGATAAAGGGTGGATAGATAATCGGGTTCGTTAATATAGAGGAATATTTATCTTTCATTAATGAGGCCAAATCTCAGCTCTTTCTTTCTTTTTCTGCTTTTTCTGCTTTCCCAGTTCCTCTAAACATTTTGTTTTGGGATTAGGGTGTTTGTTAGGGTTAGGGTAAGGGTTGGGTTAGGGTGTTTGTTAGGGTTAGGGTTGGGTTAGGGTGTTTGTTAGGGTTAGGGTAAGGGTTGGGTTAGGCCTTTATTTTGAAGGAAGGGTTAGGGCTGGGGTGTTTGTTAGGGTAAGGTTGGGTCAGGTTAGGGTTTGGTTAGGATTAGGTTTGGGTTAGGCTTTTGTTTTTAGGGTTAGTTATTCATTGTTTTGCTTTATGTCTGGTTTCTTTAGTTTCTCCTGTCTGTCCTCTTCTCCATCTCTGTTCTGTGAGCACTGCACAGATTGTTATTTAAGAGCGATTGTTAATTATTATACACTTCTCTGTCCTCGCCTGTGGGGATTGGCCGTCATTAGAGTGACGTCAGCTTCCCTCCTCGCCTGATTGGCTGGAGGAGGAGCTGTTAATCTAGAGCTAATGGACCAATGGGGATGCTTCAGCTGGCCCTCATTTGCATGCAGCTCTGACTGCGACACTCGCTGGAGGAAGTGCACAATGTGGGAAGCAGAAGCGGAAAACAGCATCATGTCAGAAAACAATGGAAGTATGAACTCCTGATGATGTTATTTCGTCACTGACCACATGTGTGCTGCTTTTTCTATGATTTCTGTGAAATTGAGACTATGACCCCTATGGAGTGTGTTGAAGCTGTTTTCTGTTGATCAAACTGTAAACTATTGTCTTCAATAAACTGTCTCTCTGACTCCTGCTCTTTGTTCATCACTCCACAGACCTAAGCTTTTCTCTCATCATGTGCTGCAGATGATGTGAAAATAAAAGTGATTTGATTTGATACAAAACGATACGTCAAACATGTTTTTATAACTGCAGACTCAATTTAGCCTTCATATAACAACATCATGTAATGTTTAAAGCTCATTGCCTTGCCATTTGTAGGATAATATGACACACTCCCCACATCATTCTTTAAAATGGTGTTCAACTGTCTAGAAATGGATCTCCTAACAGTGGTAAATGCTTCACTTCTCTCAGGGACTTTTCCAAACATACCCATAACTGCAAAGAGCATCCTTGATTTCACCCTACTGAACAACTACAGGCCCATCTCAAATCCCCCTTTCACTGGTAAAATCATTGAAAAAAGCTGTTTTTAACCAGGTTAACATGTTCTTAAGCTAAAGGGGTGTTTAGACGGTGTTCAATCTGGTTTCAAAGCACATCACAGTACAGAGAGCGCTCTTATAAGGATAATCAATGACAATCACCACAATATGGATTCAGGTAAACTAACAGTGCTGGTACTGCTCGATCTCAGTGCTGCGTTTGACACTGTCGATTACAGCTTACATCTATTTTTGGATTGAAAGATTTTACAATGTTTTTAGACTAGAATTGTAAGATTTTACAATGTTTTAAGACTTTTGGATTGTAAGATTTTATTATGTTTTAAGGTTTTACAATTGTAAGATTTTAAAGTGTTTTAAGACTAGGATTGTAAGATTTTACAATATTTTAAGACTTTAGGATTATAAGATTTTAAAATGTTTTAAGACTTTGGGATTGTAAGATTTTACAATGTTTTAAGACTAGAATTGTAAGATTTTACAATGTTTTAAGACTTTAGGATTGTAAGATTTTACAATGTTTTAAGGTTTTACAATTGTAAGATTTTAAAATGTTTTAAGACTTTAGGATTGTAAGATTTTACAATGTTTTAAGACTAGAATTGTAAGATTTTACAATGTTTTAAGACTAGAATTGTAAGATTTTACAATGTTTTAAGACTTTAGGAATGTAAGATTTTACAATGTTTTAAGACTAGAATTGTAAGATTTTACAATGTTTTAAGACTTTAGGATTGTAAGATTTTACAATGTTTTAAGACTAGAATTGTAAGATTTTACAATGTTTTAAGACTTTAGGATTGTAAGATTTTACAATGTTTTAAGGTTTTACAATTGTAAGATTTTACATTGTTTTAAGACTAGGATTGTAAGATTTTACAATGTTTTAAGACTAGAATTATAAGATTTTACAATGTTTTAAGACGTTAGGATTGTAAGATTTTACAATGTTTTAAGACTAGAATTGTAAGATTTTACAATGTTTTAAGACTTTAGGATTGTAAGATTTTACAATGTTTTAAGACTAGAATTGTAAGATTTTACAATGTTTTAAGACTAGAATTGTAAGATTTTACAATGTTTTAAGACTTTAGGATTGTAAGATTTTACAATGTTTTAAGACTAGAATTGTAAGATTTTACAATGTTTTAAGACTTTAGGATTGTAAGATTTTAAAATGTTTTAAAACTTTAGGATTGTAAGATTTTACAATGTTTTAAGACTAGAATTGTAAGATTTTACAATGTTTTAAGACTTTAAGATTGTAAGGTTTTACAATGTTTTAAGGTTTTACAATTGTAAGATTTTACAATGTTTTAAGACTTTAGGATTGTAAGATTTTACAATGTTTTAAGACTAGAATTGTAAGATTTTACAATGTTTTAAGACTTTAGGGTTGTAAGATTTTACAATGTTTTAAGGTTTTAGAATTGTAAGATTTAAAATGTTTTAAGACTTTAGGATTGTAAGATTTTACAATGTTTTAAGACTAGAATCGTAAGATTTTACAATGTTTTAAGAATTTAGGATTGTAAGATTTTAAAATGTTTTAAAAATTTAGGATTGTAAGATTTTACAATGTTTTAAGACTAGAATCGTAAGATTTCACAATGTTTTAAGACTTTAGGATTGTAAGTTTTTACAATGTTTTAAGTTTTTACAATTGTAAGATTTAAAATGTTTTAAGACTTTAGGATTGTAAGATTTTACATTGTTTTAAGACTTTAGGATTGTAAGATTTTACAATGTTTTAAGACTTTAGGATTGTAAGATTTTTGTAAGATTAATTGTAAGAAGGTAAAAATCCTTTGTGTTTTTTTATTTCATTTTTCTATCTGTGATTTTATGATTGCAATGTGATTTCAATACAAATTCTCATTATTATTAAAATTTCAGCACAATTTGCAATTTCAAACAATTTCTTGATTTTTAATAGAAATGGCTAAATGAAGTAACATCACATGCAAAGTTGCAAATGCAGTATTTTGAGTGCACTATGAAGGATAATTGTTTATAATTGTTCATTTAGTGACGCTTCATTTATTATTGCAGAAACATAAAAACAGCTCATTCCTGTATCCCTTCAGACTGCCAGGAGAGCATCATGATCATAACTTTAATAATAATAATAATAATAACTGACATGATTTGTACATTCTCTGTTGAAGCTCCAGCTGCAGTGAGGACAGTAAATACAGTAAGGCATCATTCATTCAAAGCGTTCAGAAATGATGAAGGAAAAACTATACTGTATACAAAAAAACCCAACTAAATATGGCACGGCTTCAGTGCTGGAGACGCTTCTGGTCCCACAGAAAGATCCAGAACACAGTCAGTTCTTCAGTTTGAGGAAGACCATGATTTACTATCCATTAAAGCACCGCTGACGATGAAGAAGACATCAGGCTCTGTCTCAAATCCTCCAGTTCACCACACTTGACCAGCAGCTGATGCACAGATGAAGTGTTTGTCTTGTTTTCCACAAATAACATGATGTACAGTTGAGTCGGAATTATTCGCTCGGCTGTGAGTTTTCTTTGTCTAATATTTCCTAAATGATGTTGAACAGACTCAGGAAATGTTCACAGTATGTCTGATAATATCTGTTCTTCTGGAGAAAATCTTATTTGTTTTATTTCGGCTAGAATAAAAGCAGTTCTTAATCGTTTTAAAGCCATTTTAAGGTCAATATTATTAGCCCCCTTCAGCAATATTAGTTTTGGATTGTCTCCAGAACAAACTTTTATGATTAGAAATGTGCTGAAAAAATCTCTCCAACAAACCGAAATTGGAGGAATAAATATTCACACGGGCTAATAATTCTGACTTTAGCTGTCTGTGTGCGTGTTTGAGTGTACTGACAAAAATGGTTCATTAAATTAATAAAAAAAATAAAAATGTAAAGTAAGTGGTTGTAAACAATTTATATTGGCTGGAAATAAACAAATTAAATGCAGTAATATTCAACTTAATGTTTGTTTATATAGATATATATATATTTCCCAAATAAATTGTTTTACGTACCTCAAAAATTTTAGCACCTAAACAAACACACACACACACAAAAACCCTGAGCTAAAAAGCATTCTAGCGCTCTTATTAAAATAATAATAAACTACTGTTTTTTTTTTGTTGGTCTTAAAAATAGTTTGCCACTCATCAGTAAAATCACTTTTGTGTGAAACACTTTCTGAAAACAGCAGCTCAATCTGTACATTTCAACATGAGACAGATGCGGGAGATTTTGTAAGGTGTGAATCATTTATAAACAACAATAAACAAATTGCAGAAAAAGGTCAAATAAGCAGTGCTTGATGATTCCCCCGAGTCAAACATTATTCAGGATACAGAAATTGTATAATTAAATGTAAAAGAACCGTATATAGTCTTCATTATTATAACTATTCAGTGAAATGAATCTTCATTAAAGTTACAAATGTTGTACTTTTTTTAGCCTGAATGCTTTAAACTCTTGAAGTTTCACAAACTAATAAACACAAATGACCTGATCTCGAACTCTCCTCACATGCTCATGACAGGCGGGAGCCCTGGGCTCAATTATTCCCGAGCTCAGGGTTCTCTCCCGGGACAGCATGTCAAACCTGCTATGATCATGAACCAATATCTAAGTGTGAACTCTTGAAATGTCTAAAACACATGCTAATGATAAAGATTCCCTCTGTTATAGTTATACTCTGTAATGACTCCACAGATCTCATGAGTTCTCAACTGTTGTGTTGATCAACTGTAATCCCGACTCAACACTGAGATTTGACTATTGTGGACACACACAATGCGACATCAATGCTGAAACCATACATTGAGCAGCCCAAACATATACAGCTGAATCAGAATTATTAGCCCTGTTTATTTTTCCCAATTTCTGATTAACAGAGCAGATTTCTTCAACACATTTCTAATCATGATAGTGTTAATAACTCATCTCTAATCACTGATTTATTTTATCTTTGTCATGATGACAGTAAATAATATTAGACTAGATATTCTTCAAGACACTTCTATACAGCTTAAAGTGACATTTAAAGGCTTCACTAGGGTAATTAGGTTAACTAGGCAGGTTAGGGTAATTAGGCAAGTTATTGTATAACGATGGTTTGTTCTGTAGGCAGCTTAAACAGGCTAATAATATTGACCTTAAAATGGTTCATAAAAAAATTTAAGCTGCTTTTATTCTAGCCTAAATAAAACAAACAAAACTTTCACCAGAAGAAAAAATATTATCAGACATACTGTGAAAATTTCCTGAATCTGTTAAACATCATTTGTGAAATATTAAAAAAAAGAGAAAAAATTCAAAAGGGGGCAAAAAATTCTGACTCAACTGTGTGTATATTCCTTAAATATATTCTAAAATATTAAATATAAAATGATTAAAATATTAAATTAATATCATTACATATAATTAATATTACCAATTTACAGAGATAAACGACAAATATAAATAAATATATATAAACAACAATCAATAAATGTGATTATATTGGAAATCAATGGGGCAAAAACAGCCCCCAACATAACCAAAGGTGGGTCAGTGTGCTCAATTTTCAAAACATTTTCCCAAAATATATCAAAATAAGATTTGTCAGCAAAAAACACTTCATTTTCTGAAACTCAAGTTGGGGCCAAATTAAGAGCGTACTCACACTGTGCTATCTGAACTGTGCCCAGGCCGTTTCCCGGATCGTTTGACAAGTGTGAGTGCTCTGAATCGGGCTCAGGCACAGTTCACTTGGCCGGCCCTGGCCCGGTTGGAAGAGGTGGGCCTGAGCGCGGTTCACTTGGGCTTTGGCGCGGTACGCTTGTGTGTGAGTGCAAAACGCGCCAAAGCCCGAAACTGAAAGCGAGACGTGACTTTAAGGGGCTGTTTTATATGTGTTTATTAATCATTCTGACTGTTCAGTGAACACAAACTGCCATAGATTATTAAAGACGAGAACCCCTCACTGCACCACAGCTGCACCTTCAGCAGACCTCCTAATACCTGCAGCACGAGAGCTTTATGATTGATTATGAGCGTCAAAAGTGTTGGATCAGTTCAGTGAAATATCTGACTGTGTGTCACCGCATATCAACCGATATAACTAGAGAAATCTCCACTGTGCTGAGCGAGAGCGCTTCTCTACTGAACAGCGCAGCATTGATGAAGTAAGCGTGCTCAGGTCTGAATGTAATGTGAGTGCGGGCCGTCGGGGGAGCAGGGAGGGGGGACAAGCTTACTTTGGCCCGGTTCAAGGCAACTGTACATAGTGTGAGTACAGCCTGAGACTCAAAATCAGCCCAGAGTGGAGGAAAACGGCCCAACAGCAGTCAGTCCAGTAAATGAAGTGTGCGGTTTGTCCAAACTATGAGTTATTTTGGGGGCAACTTCACTGTTTAATGTTTAAAACACTTAAATGTTTAAACAGAGCTATTCTGAACATTAGCTGAAGGTGTTCATGTAAACAGCTGCCTTACTGTCACTCAGCGTTTATTAGAAAACAAGACAAACACGTCATCATCAGCCAGCGCTTGAGCCAAAATGGCGGATCTGGTTGCACCGTGAGGACGGGGCCGAGGGCCTCACGGTCAGCCTGAGCGTCCAGCGGTGCGACCGGCAGATGGAATCATGGGAAAGTGGGCGTGGCTTGATGCTGGTGTGGAGAGCAGCGTGACCCCGTGTGTTCGGCCCCGGGCCCTCATCATCATCATCATCGTCATCAGTACAGGCTCCAGGGTGAGGATGAGGATGAAGGCTCCGCGGGGCCCGACTGCTTCCCACACACGCAGGTTCAGTCCATCTTCTCCTTCTGCACCAGCCGCGGGGCGTCCACAAAGTCCCGTCCGTTGAAGAGGATCACGCCGCCGGTCACCACGCTGGCGGAGCCCCAGAACAGCACGTACGCCAGAGTCTCCGTCCACGTGTCCCCTGATGGAGGAAACACACACTCATTATACTCACACTGGTGACACAGCCATAGATATATACAATAGATATCGCATACAGACTACGAGCATGCATCAATACTACACTTTTACAGGGCTCTCATCACCTGTGCGCGCGAGTAATCCTCCTCTCATACGGTATTCACCTGCTTTGTCTCGCGTGAACACAGTTATTGTTGTCAGTCGTGCTGTTTCTCGATTCTAAGATCACATTTTGGGCCATGCTTATTGTCGAACTCTGCTTTAAGAAAACTACAATGCAAAATTATTGCCAACCTGCCAAGTGTCTAGTGGGAGCGGCTGTCCAACCCGCCAGAGCTGAAATCTACCCACATTTAGCGGGTGTTAATGTAAAGCCCTGTATATAGTATTTATGACGCTGGGCATTAATAAGTGCACCCCATTTTAAAGATAAATATTTTTCTCTACTTCTCAGTGAATATTTTAGTGCATTTGAATAAAACAGATTTATTAAAAAGATAAATGTATTAAATATATATTTTAGAAGCAGAACATCTTTACAAATGGAAAGAGAATACATTTAAATTCATGCAAAATATTGCAAAAAATTTGCAAAACAAAACAACATTTCAAAATTTTTCAGATTTTTTGCTCTTTTTAGATTGTTAATTTCATATTTTTCTCTAATATACATTTTAGGCTTCTTGATTTTGGACGATTATTATGTTATTTAGTTAGATTAGAGTCAGTAGACAAATCTAAAGCTCCATCGATCTAACCACCAGAGGTCGCTGGTAAACACTGACACACACATAGGACTACAAACATTTTTTACAGTCACTGGCTGTGTCTTTTCGAGCGTAACGATTTCCGGTTACACAGACTCCAGTATGGCGGCGCCGGAAGAGGTAACGTATTTCGTCGTGAACAACATTCCCGGCCGGTTCCGATCCGCGGATCTGAGGAATTATTTCAGCCAGTTTATAGAGAGCGGAGGATTCGCGTGCTTTCACTACCGTCACCGGCCGGAGCTGCGCGTCACGAGCGGAGCGTGTGAAGCCGGAGAGGGTGAAGCCCGGCCTGCCGCTCCTGCTGACGGTAAACAGTGGAGCTCCTGCTGCTGTGTGGTGTCGGTTCGAGCGCAGGAATCGGACAGATTCATCAGGATGTACTCCGGGAATCAGTGGATCGACTCTTCAGGAAACTGGCTGAGGAATACCTGCTTAATCCGGAGAGTCAGAGTGTCCGAGCAGAGCGGTGAGTGACAAAATAAAAGACCCATGTTTACCTCAATGTTTACCCATGTTTACCACAACCGATGTTGTATCTGGCACCAGCAGGGATTGTTGGTGGGAAGAGTAAACAAATATCTAACTCAATACCACGGCTAAGGTGATTTCCTCAAGCAAGGCACCTAAACCTCAACTATCATATGCATTATATTCATATTATCATATCACATTATTCATTCTATCATATTTTAACATTTAGTTTTCATTTTTATAAATAAGTCTCTATTCTATTATATTAAATTGTTTTAATTAGTTTAGATTTATCTATTTCTGTAATTAAAATGAAACTTAAAGAATGTTCAGAACTAAATAATTATTTAAAAAAGAAAAAAAAATCAGAAACAATGTTTTATTTTGTTTTTATAATTTAAACAAAAAATCTTCATGAATAATTTCTCATTTCATTTTAAATTATTATTAAAATCTGAATCAAATCTAAATCTGCCCATCAGCTTCCATTCTGAAACAGCAGATTTTTTTCTGTTGACTCTGATTGGGCAAAATTTGCTTAGCCACACCCCTTCAACTGTAAGCTTGCAGAGCAAAATAAATAAAATGCCGCCTCCTACTCAATATTCAGTTTCAGTTCGACATTATCATACTAAAATAAACCACAATAATAATATTATTAAGATGGAAATAAGTTCATTTAGATATTTTTTGTTATGTATGAGGTTTGTGATGTAATAAGGTGCATGTTGCGTCATATTAATCATCATACTGTATTTTCTTTTCTTTTATAGATTGTGATTTATTCCCGTATAAGACGAAGGCGGAGCTGCGACGACACGTGGCCCAATCAGAGCAGTTCACAGAAAATGACCTGAGGGGCCTGCCAGAGCTGAACCCGCCTGCGCTCATGCCGTCAGGGAATGTGGGAACGCCGGTCTCTGTGTTCCTGCAGCTCATCCAATCCTGCCGCCTGCCGCCACGCCTCATCCGAAAACTGGGGCTCACCTTCCCTAAAACCGGCTCCAACCGCAGATACGGCAACGTGCCCTACCAATACCACAACACTAGAGTCGTGACGCCTGCGGAGGAGAGCGTGTTCACTGCTGGAGGAGTTGAGATTAAAGGACACGCCCAAAGGGACACGCCTACAACATCACACAGAAAACAGGGCAAGCCCACAACCTTATACAGAACGCAGGAAACGCCCACAGCATCACAAGCAAAACAAGACACGCCCACAATATCACTAACAATACAGGACACGCCCACAACAACACAAACAAATCAGGACACGCCTTCTACCTCATGCAAAATACAGGACACGCCCACAGCATCACAAAGAAAACAGGACACGCCCACAACCTCACAAAAACTGGACATGTCTACTACCTCATGCAAAATACAGGACACGCCCACAGCATCACAAAGAAAACAAGACACGCCCACAACATCATGCATAATACAGGACACGCCCACAACCTCACAAACCGTACAGGACACGCCCACAACCTCACAAAAACAGGACATGTCTACTACCTCATGCAAAATACAGGACACGCCCACAGCATCACAAAGAAAAGACACGCCCCCAACATCATGCATAATACAGGACACGCCCACAGCATCACAAAGAAAAGACACGCCCCCAACATCATGCATAATACAGGACACGCCCACAACCTCACAAACAAAACGATTAAACACACCCACAGCCTCACGCAAAATACAGGACACGCCCACATACACACAAACACTATATGAAGACACGCCCTCTCCACCTGTCAATCAACCGTCTCAGGAAGAAGAAAGTGAAGAGGAGCTGTCGGGCCCTGATGATGTGAGTTAAAGCTGCATCTTATTACAATTTTAAATAATATTGCTTAAAATTAATATGGCAAGAGTGATTATGGCTCAGTCAAATAACACATATAAGCCACTTCTGACACCAAATGATCACGAATAATAAGAAGTCAAGTTATTATTTGCTGTTCCTGAGTATATTAGTATGGTGTAGGGTCTCTTTTTGCAGCAAATTCACTGAGTGTGTTTGTGTGTTTCAGGATGACGACCGCTGTGAGGAGTGGGAGCGTCACGAAGCTCTTCACGAGGACATCACGGCTCAGGAGAGAAGCAAAGAGCGTCTGTTTGAGGAGGAGATCGAGCTCAAGTGGGAGAAAGGAGGATCTGGACTCGTCTTTTACACCGACGCTCAGTTCTGGCAAGAGGAGGAGGAAGGAGGTACAGCAGACACACTTATACTTCTGTCTTACACTGTTAAAGTCTGCAGGAAGTCATAATTCACGATGTTTGTTTTACTGGCGCACATTCAGTAGACCTTCACATGGACACCAATACGATTAAGGCCGTACTCACACTAGGTACAGTTGCCTCTAACCGGGCCAAAGCACGCTTGTCCCCCCTCCCGTCTCCCCCGACGGCCCGCACTCACACCATATCGGGCCTCGGCATGCTTGCGTCATCGCTGCTACTCTGTTCAGTGAGAAGCGCTCTCTATGGCAAGCCTTTTTAGCATTTAAATCTTTGTTCTGACTCCATAAATGTATTTAGAGATATCTCCAATTATATTTTGACTAGTCATAATTATAATTCCACTACTCAGAATGACAATTAGAGATATCTGCAATTACAATTGTACTAGTACGAAATCAGATTGGAGATATCTGCAAATATATTATGACTAGTCATATTCCTCCATTAAAAATATTTGCAGATATCTCTAAATGAGTTTTAACTAGTCACAATTGTAATTGGAGATATCTCTAACTGAGTTTTTACTAGTCATAATACATTTGGAGATATCTTTAATTCGTCATATTTAGAGATATTTACAAATATATTTGAAGATATCTTTAATTAATTTACTAATAGTCGAATTACAGTTGTAGATATCTTGAATTGGATTTTTGACGAGTCAAAATTCATTTGGAGATATCTCTAATTACAATTGTGACTAGTCAAAACTCATTTAGAGATATCTGCAAATATTTTTCCATTTTTAATGGAGGAATATGACTAGTCAGTCATAATATATTTGCAGATATCTCCAATCTGACTAGTCGAATTATGATTATGACTAGTCAAAATATAATTAGAGATATCTCTAAATATATTTATGGATAGTCTGAACAAGGTACTAAAACGACTTGCCATATGCTCTCACCCCGCAGCACAGTGGAGATTTCTCTAGTTATATCCTTTCAGTGGTTTGTTATGCAGTGACATGCAGTCAAATATTTTGCCAAACAGTCCTTAGGGATGCGGTGACACGCAGTCAGATATTTCACCGAACAGATCCGCCACTTTTGGCGCTCATAAACAGTCATAAAGCTCTCGTGCTGCAGGAATGAGGAGGTCTGCTGAAGGTGCAGCTGTCCTGCTGTGAGGAGTTCTCGTCTTTAATAATCTACGGCAGTTTGCGTTTACTGAACAGTAAGAATGATTAATAAATCCATATGAAACAGTCCCTTAAAAGTCACGTCTCGCTTTCAGTTTCGGGCTTTGGCGAGTTTTGCACTCACACACAAGCGTACCGCGCTAAAGCCCAAGTGATCCGCGCTCAGGCACACCTCTTCCAACCGGGCCAGGGCCGGCCAAGTGAACATGAAAATGCCCTGAAAATTAAGATAGCGTGTTGACGAAATGACGTTAATTGATCAATGTTCTATAACATGTACAACTGAAACATTCTAAAAGCAACTCTTATAAACAATTTATTCATATTATCGCCTTGTTTAGATCACGGTTAATAGTTTGATTACTGATGTCCATGTAAATGTAGTCTGTGTTAGTGCTAATGTACTTCAGAACGCAGCAGCACAAGTGGTCTTTCAAGAGCCACGAAAGCCCCTCGTTTCAGCAGGGTGTTTTCACACCTCTACTTTGGAAAAAGTCAGAAAAGTGGGCGTGTCCAGCTCTGTTTAGGGGGGAGTGTCGGAGGATCTAAAGTGGGAGGGTGTGGGAGTGTCTATTTGACCACGCGCTGAGTTTCAGAGTCAAAACACACACACAGGGGAGACAGTGACTGTTGTTTACATGGACATCTGTAGTCGAATTATTTGCCAAATAATTAAATGTTGGACTTTAACTGCAGTTTGGCTCTTTCATTCAGGGAATTCATTTATGCCCCTCGCGACAAACGAGATATTTGATTCGAGGATCTGCTCTAAGCGTGTATTTTTCATGCAATGTTTGATACCGCACGGCGAATGAGAGAAAAACAACCCTCCGCATTTCCCGAAAACTTAGATGCACACGGCAGGTAGCGTCAGAAAGCCGCGTGTGTTATTCCGGTCACTAAATGTTTGGTTGTGGTGCTAACATGTTTACACTCAGTGCAATAGTTAACTTAGTTCGATACGAACAAACTGAATAAACAAAGAGCACTGGTCGCTCACTTACCAAATCTGTAGAGACAGGACAATCACCAGCAACTAGAGCCACGTCTTTATTAAGAGGAGACTACAAGCGAATCCGGATCTCAGCGTTTGCAGATGAGAACAGCTCTCAGGTAAACAATAATCCTCCTTAGACACGTAAGTTATTGTTGTCGAGCGTCGCGTACACTGTTAATCCACACGTGACTCCAGCTGAGCTCTCACAGAGAGAAAATGAAAACAAAACTGAACTGCAGCAAACTATAAAAGCAACACTTCACACTTGTTTTGCCAACACAACGAGGCGTCTCTGCCGTCTAAACACTGTGACAGTAATGAATATTAATAAAGTTGCACAATAGAGCGCGCTGATTGGTTTGAACCAAGCTTTACTCATGCATTAATGCAGCACACTGTAAGATGTAATAAGACTCACTCTGGCACAGACGTCCAGTCTGCACGCTGGAATACACGCTATTATGTCATGACCGTGACGCAGCTTCAAAAATTCGTTTCAAACCGGAAGTACGAATTTACTTGAAATAAAGCAAAAACAACCAATTTACACTTTTTAGTGAAATATCGGTGTCCTAATAGTGTTTTTAGCAGTGTGGGACACATATACCACTGTCAACAGCTCAACACATGTGTTCTGGTGTTTCATGACCCTTTAATAAACCTAAAAGAGCACATGTCACTCCGTTTGCACTACTCATCCATTTATACGCACATAAATGCATTAGACTGGAAACGAAAGGTCATGCGTCAAGTTTCGCGTACAGTTCGCTACGTTGCAAAGTTCAAGCTTAGTGAACTCTGACCTGCGAAATCGCATCACGTGACTGCATAAGACCATTCGAAGATCAAAACATGACCTCTCTGTCATGTCTAAAAATCTTGTTTAATCCCGTCATTTTCGCAGCGACGTACGACAGAAGTGTGACCGCAGCTTTACTTGGTTTACTAGAAACTTCCTGGCAGGGGTGTTGAAGGAAATTGAAGGTAAACTCAGCAGGATAGCGGCCCTCCAGGACCAAGTTTGGACACCCCTGATATATAGCATTTTGTTCCAATTAAAACGTAAATTATGTAAATATTCATGTTTTTAACAATTAAATAAGTCTAAATGTGATTGATTAATTATTTTAATGTTTACTTTTTTCACAATTACGTTAAAGAGTATTCCAAATCCATGTTTTTCCTTCATTAAAATGATGATCTAGCTTTTTGTTATTAGTGTAATATAATGCTGATTGATGCATTGTTTAGGGTATTTTTGTCTTTGATTCTTCTAGATTTTGACGAGCAGACGGCAGATGACTGGGACGTGGATATGAGCGTCTATTATGACAAAGGTAAACTGGTGTGTGTGTGTTTGTGTTTGTGTTTGTGTTTGTGTTTGTGTTTGTGTGTGTGTGTCAGTGTGTGTACAGGACATTAGTATGTGATTTATTTATTTGTTCTTCTTCAGACGGTGGTGATATGGACTCCAGAGCTTATGTGCGCATGCGTTCTGAACAGAGGCTGCGGGACGGCCTGACGAACACACACATAGGCAGCTTTGAGAGGTTTACTAAGGTCAGTTCAGTGCAATGAATCGAATTTTAATGTATATTTTTGCTTCCAACGATTATGAAAAAACATTAGTGAGATTAAGTGATTATTGAGCATGAATAGTCCTCACTTTAGATCAGGTCACACAACTGCATGTAGCTGTGTTCATATAGCATTTATTGACATATAGAATAGCGATTGCTAAATGCCTGAATAATACGATATATTAATGCTGATTTGAATAGTTTATTAATCATTTACTCATTCTGAATAAAAAGTACCAACTACTCTTAAAGCTGCTGTATGTCAGTTTTTAACATGTCTAAAGCATAAAACAGCATCATATGTGTGCAGATATTCAGAATCATGGTCAGTGAACATTCTTGATTATCTGAAAAACAATGCTGAAGTCAGATACTCTGCTTTGAACGTGTGTGTTACGTGCTAACCCGCCCACTGCCAGTTTAGCCAATTATATTTCAGCACCCCGGCTTACCTTGGTGGAAAACTGTACATTTCATTCATTCAATCAGTCATGAAGACTCAAAGTGTGCGTCCGTGACCAAAATGCGACCTCTGGTGGACAGTAGCAGACTCTGAAATGAGATGCAGATTCAGAGTTCCACACGAGGTTATTAACCCGTTGTGCTGCGGTACATCGCGTTTTTTAAAGCGAAACTTCGAGGGGAACATTGCTAAATATAACGGCTTCCTACAAAAAGACTAAACATGTCATATATCTTTTGAAAACTGCGATTCTTGTGATTAAAACTATTCCAACCAATTTAAGACACAATGAACATAGCAGACACAGTTAGTGTCTTTGTCAAACTGCCGATCACAACAGAAGCAATAACAAAACTGAAAAAAACTCGCATTGTATGCCTCCTGCCGCTCCTGTCTGTCCACAGATCCATAACATTTCAACAAACAGGGTGAAATTACACTGCAAAGGGTCCAGCCAATCCAATTCACTGAAATATTTAGTCCACAACTTGTTAATTTGTCGATAAACATCCAGTGAATGCACCGCTATCATTTCAGACTAGTCGCCGAAGCAATCAAATCTATAATGTGTTCGGAAGTTTAGGGTCTTTTTAGATGTAAACAATACTAATATTTTGAAAGGAAGTTGGCCGCTGGCCAAGGTTATAATAATTTTGGATTTCTATTTAGTTTTGACTTTTTGTTTTCAAATTCAGTTCATTTTAATTAGTTTTAGAGGCAGATTTCTTAGTTTTTAGTAGTTTCTATATTTTTAAAATGTCTTACTTTTAGTTTAGTTTTTATTAGTTTCAGTATTAGTTTCAGTTTTTTTCTAAATGAGGATATTTGTTAGGTGCAAGATTCAAAATCAACAGGATAAATATTGTATAATAAAAACTCAGTCATACATTTTTTGAAACATGGATTCAGAGAACACATGAACACTCTCATCTACCACAACCATCTACCCATCCTCAAACTCAAATACAACAGCCAACAAGACAGCAGACTTAAAGGGTCACGAAACACCAGAACACATGTGTTGAGCTGTTGACAGTGGTATATGTGTCCCACACTGCTAAAAACACTATTAGGACACCTATATTTCACTAAAAAGTGTAAATTGGTTGTTTTTGCGTTATTTCAAGCAAATTCGTACTTCCTGTTTGAAACGAATTTTTGAAGCTGCGTCACGGTCATGACATAATAGCGTGTATTCCAGCGTGCAGACTGGACGTCTGTGCCAGAGTGAGTCTTATTACGTCTTACAGTGTGCTGCATTAATGCATGAGTAAAACTTGGTTCAAACCAATCAGCGTGCTCTATTGTGCAACTTCATTAATATTCATTAGCGTTACCGTGTTTACTCCACAGAGACGCCACGTTGTGTTGGCAAAACAAGCGTGAAGTGTTGCTTTTATAGTTTGCTGCCGTTAAGTTTCGTTTTCATTTTCTCTCTGTGAGAGCTCAGCTGGAGTCACGTGTGGATTAACAGTGTACGCGACGCTCGACAACAATAACTTACGTGTCTAAGGAGGATTATTGTTTACCTGAGAGCTGTTCTCATCTGCAAACGCTGAGATCTGGATTCGCTTGTAGTCTCCTCTTAATAAAGACGTGGCTCTAGTTGCTGGTGATTGTCCTGTCTCTACAGATTTGGTAAGTGAGCGACCAGTGCTCTTTGTTTATTCAGTTTGTTCGTATCGAATTAAGTTAACTATTGCACTAAGTGCAAACATAGCACCGCATTTAGTGACCGGAATAACACACGCGGCTTTCTGACGCTACCTGCCGTGTGCATCTAAGTTTCTGGGAAATGCTGAGTTTTTTTTTCTCTCATTCACCGTGCGGTATCAAACATTGCATGAAAAATACACGCTTAGAGCAGCTCCTCGAATCAAATATCGCGTTTGTCGCGAGGGACATGAATGAATTCCCTGAATGAAAGAGCCAAACTGCAGTTAAAGTCCACCATTTAATAATTTGGCAAATAATTCGACTACAGATGTCCATGTAGGTTAAACACCATCACTTTCTCATGTGTGTGTGTTTTGACTCTGAAACTCGCGCGTGCCCAAATAGACACTCCCACACCATCCCACTTTAGTTCCTCCGACACTCCCCCCTAAACAGAGCTGGACACGCCCACTTTTCTGACTTTTTCCAAAGTGGAGGTGTGAAAACACCTGCTGAAACGAGGGGTTTCATGGCCCTTTAAGTACAATATGTGTGCAAGGCTGCTTCTTAGGTTAGACACACAGTAGTGGTTCGCAGGGCCGGATTAACCAATGTGCATTATGGGCCCATACACACTAGGATTTTGCCTTCTCTTCATCACGAGAAAGACAAGTGGGAATCCTTAATAAGTGTGTGTATTAAAAAGGACTCAAATTCCTAGAACTGGATTGGAGAGGTGTTATCCAAATCATGTGCATTATAAGTTTGTAGAAGTTATACACTAAAAATACCCTTGAATGTAGATTTTAGTACTGCTTCAGTGTATTAGTATTTTTTTTTTCAAAGTGTGCTTTAAATGCTTTAAAAATAAGTTAAATCTTTTAAGTTAACGTGTTTTGAAACAGGAGTGCAAAAGCTAGTTCAACCACTGGGTGTCAGCCTTACATACTGCACCTTTAAATACAACTGGTTTGTAAATAAGCCAATACTTAATTGAATAGTGAAAAATTGTTCATTAACAAAGTATGAAAATACAATTATTAAAAACATTATGTATGCGCTTTTAAGTAAAGAACAGAGCATTTGTAGCAGTTTTTATAGACTGCTTACTAATATCTTATAATGTAGAGTTAATGCTTGAACTTAATTAAATACATTTTTGATGGTAATCATTAATGTAGTTTAAATACAATTCTATTGATGGATCATGTAATTGGTATTTACTTTTCTGAAGTAACTTTCCCTATCATGCTGCTGATTGTGGCCTCTCTCTGTGTAGGGTGTGGGCAGGAGACTGATGGAGAAACAGGGCTGGAGGGATGGAGAAGGTTTGGGGAACAGTCAGATGGGAATGGCGGAGGCGCTGGAGAATGAAGGACAGCATCCACACTGTAAGAGAGGCTTCGGGTGAGTGTGAGCCACACACACACACACACACATACACACACACAAACACACACACTAGGGGCTGAACGACTTTAGATTTTGGGAAGTTTGGACTTCTATGTTATTAAAGTAGAGTCGACATTGTCGTTGGCGACATCATCAACAAAACACTACATGCAAATATATATATATGAATAAATAAATACACACAAACAAGAAAAAGACATGATGAAAAGAACTAAATATTTATTCACTACAAAAAGTTACAAACACTTTTTTTAGCACAAAGGCCTACAAACGTCTGTGCGTCACCATAGGGACAGATGTAAAACAGCAGTGTTTGTTAGTGCTGGTCAGGTCTGCATGTTGTCGGTCAGTGTGTGCTTCATGCTTCTGTCAGTCTATGTCGCTCCTGTCGCTGTTCATCTGTGCTTCATCTAAAACTCCACATCTATAATCCTCTTAGTCTATGCTGACATTATCTTCAGCAGCTCAAACACTCTAATGGCTAATGGACAGACGGCTGCTTCTCACTCAGGGCTGCTGTTTATGCTAATGAGGGAGAGATGGGCACTAGTGGGCGGGGCTTTCCCCCTCTGATGACACGTACAAAGAGAGAATGTCAATCACAGTGTTTCATTCATCAAGTCTGATTATAAAACACACAATCAGTCAATGTTTACCATTAGAGGCTGGAGATATTCACACACTGCTGACACACAACTGGGGTTAAACCCCTTATAAAGGTGATTTCTGCATAATAGGTGTGTTGGTCAATATGATACTGGTTTTTTACTTCACTGTATTTTGATGTCTTGTGTATTTGCAGGTATCATGGAGAGAAGCTCAACTCGTTCCTTCCTGCTAAAAAACCCAGAAAAGACTTTCATATTTCAACAGTTTATGATGAACCTCGAGATATTGATCAAGGCGACGACCTGCTGCGGCGGCAACCCAACACCAGCATGAAGTACAGACAGCGGCGGATGAATAACAACCCAAACAGATGACCAGTGCTATCAGCTATTCATCACCACTGCATCGTCTGATGGTGCTATTCCAAAAAAGAAAATATCATACAACATGATATCATGCAGAGCTGTAAATAATCCTCCAGATCTTATTTTGTTGATATTAAAAGTGTTCAGTGCTACAACACACACTTCTGTCTGTTTAATCCTCAGCTGCTATTATGTGCAAATATGTATGATATTCAAGTAGTTTGCAGTTGTGTGAAGAAGGAACTCATTTAATATGAGTATTTATGATATTTTAGTATTTATATTAAATACAAGGATAAATGTCGGTGCAATAGCCTAGTGGTTAGCGCGCCGACATATGGTGCAACAGCACGTCAGGGATACTACAGGGAGTTCGAATCCCAGCTTGAGGACATTTCCCTACCCTACCCCCTCTCTCTCGCTTCCTGTCTCAATACTGTCCTATCTAAAAAAGGCCAAAAATAAATCTTAAAAAAAAAATATATATATATAAAATTATTACATATATATATATATATATATATATATATATGTATATATATATATATATATATAAATATTATATATATATATATATATATATATATATATATATATATATATATATATATATATATATATATATATATAAATATTACGAACCCTTCAACTTTCCCTCTACGAAAAAGACATATGTCATTGGATGGATTGTGTTCCTGACACTATAAGCTAATTTAGATTTTTTGGTTTTGCTGTTTTAATGATAACATGAACAAAATGTCGAGCAGGTGGTTATTATGCCATTTAAAGGGTGAATACAGTCACCGGCCACTTTATTAGGTACACCGGTAGTACCGGGTTGGACCCCTTTTTGCCTTCAGATCTGCCTTAAACTTTCGTGGCAGAGATTTAACAAGCTACTGGAAATATTCCTCAGAGATTTTGCTCCATATTGACATGATAGCATCACACAGTTGCTGCAGATTTGTCGGCTGCACATCCATGATGCCAATCTCCTGCTCCACCAAATCCCAAAGCTGCTCTATTGGATTGAGCTCTGGTGACTGTGGAGGCCATTTGAGTACAGTGAACTCATTGTCATGTTCAAGAAACCAGTCTGAGATGATTGAGCTTTATGACATGCTGCGTTATCCTGCTGGAAGTAGCCATCAGAAGATGGAGACACTGTGCTCATAAAGGGATGGACATGGTCAGCAGCAATACTCAGGTGGGCTGTGGCGTTGATGCTCAATTGGTACTAATGGACCCAAAGTGTGCCAAGAAAATCTCCCCCACACCATTACACCACCACCACCAGCCTGAACCACTGATATAAAACAGGATGGATCCATGCTTTCATGTTGTTGATGTCAAATTCTGACCCGAGCATCTGAATGTGTCAGCAGAAATGGAGACTCATCAGAGCAGCAACGTTTCTCCAATCTTCTATTGTCCAGTTTTGGTGAGTCTGTGTGAATTGTAGCCTCAGTTTCCTGTTCTTAGCTGACAGGAATGTTTTGGCACATCCACCTGTTGATTTCATCAATGCATTGGCAGAGGATGTCAATGGGGCTGTAGTCATTAGGCAGTAAGGCTAGGTAGATCTGAGTGTTATCAGCATAGCTGTGGTAGGAGATTTGGTTCTTTCTCATTATTTGGATCAGAGGGAGCATGTAAAGGTTGAACAGGAGAGGTGCCAGAATCAAACCTTCTGGAACTCCACAAGGGTGTCCACCTCGACCTATGGTCAACTATACTGATATGGTAACCTCTCCCTTCAAGGTATGATCTGAACCATTTGAGGACCGTCCCAGACAGCCCAACCCAGATTTCCAGCCTATCCAGAAGTATGCTGTGATCAACAGTGTCAAATGCAGCACTGAGATCAAGCAGTACCAGCACTGTTAGCTTACCTGAATCTGTATTTAGGTGGATATCATTGATTATCTTTATATGGAGCACTTTCTGTACTGTGATGTGCTCAGAAATCAGATTGAAGATTGTCTAAACATCCTTTAGAGCTTAAGAGCTTGTTTACCTGGTTAAAAACATCTTTTTCAATGATTTTGTGAATGATAATCACAGTAAAAGTAGCCCATGGACAATATAATACCAAATAAATAATGAAAAATAGTTCAGAATAAAGGAAGAAATGCCTAAAAAAGGTATATAAATAAAATATCATACGTTAAAGGTTAAAAATGAACACTGCACATTTCAATTGTGCAAAATGTTGTGCAAACCGAGTTGTAAATACAGTAGTCAACATTTGAAGTGGATATTGGTTAAAACTATCAAACAACACCAATTCTTGTGTATTAGGACACTTTTAAAAAAATCTAGTCTGTTCCACTTCAAATGTTGACGACTACAATCTCAAAGAAATGCTTTATTTAGTAAGCAAAACATGAAATATAAGTTTCTCGCAGGACTTTTATGAGCGCGCGGGACTTTTACGTGTAGCCAAAGGTCATTTCCTGTCGGTGCTGTCTGTCGCGAGATTCCCGCCGCCGTATTGACACGTCACGAAGGTCAGGATTGAGCTGATGGAAAGATGGCGAGCACCTACAACTCCTTCAACCTGTGAGTATAAACACACACATAAATACATTTCCACTGCTTATCAATCACTCCGATTATCAGTTATCAGCAAATGAACGAGCGGAGCAGCGGCTCTTGCTCAATACACAACTTAGCTCACTAACTAGAGCACAGTATCGGCAGGTACAGGTGATGTTATTACTGTGAATGGGCTCTACATGAACACTAATAATCAATAAACAATAATGATAGCCATCAATATAGCTGATTAGATTCACTCTAATCATCAGTTCAGCTCCAGACTGTTTGTTTATTGTGGGTTTTCTTGTGTCTGAAAATAAACATCGCGTACTTGCTGATAAATATCAGTGAAATATTTCTACTTTATCCCATAAAGTATGCTGTGTGTGTTTTATTTATGATGTGTAATTTGTATATTCAACATTTAATAACATAATATAATGTTCTTTTAAGTAGCTTTTATAATTGTATACGGTATTACCTCAGTGCTGGGTTGAAACACAAGTAATATATTACAACCTTAAGGCGATCTTAATCTTACAAAATAAGAAAAACACATGTATTTACATTAGTATTGCAGTGAAGGTCTGGACTGCAGGTACAGGTGACGTTATTACTGTATGTGTGCTTTAAATAAGCAGTAATAATCAATAAACAATAATAATCATCAATATAGCTGATTAGATTCACTTAATAATCCGTTCAGCTCCAAACTGTGCGTTTATTATTGATTGTTTTGTGTCTGAAATGAAATACAGAGTACTTACTAGTAAATATCAGTTAAAAATGTAATTTTTTTCCATAAAGTATGCTGTCTGTATTTTATTTATGATGTTTAAGATATATATTAGGCGGTATGATAATGCAACATGTTATTATAAGAAGCTTTTAATAATGTATACAGAAATACCTCGGTGTTGGTTGGAAAAACAAGTAATATATGACAAGCTTAATTTTAAAAATATAATAAATAACACATGTATTCACATTAGTATTGTAGTTAAGGTCTGGACTGCAGGTACAGGTGATGTTATCACTGTCAGTGTGCTTTAAATGAGCAGAAATCATCAATAAACAATAATAATAATTATCAATAAACATGATCAGATTCACTCTAATAATCCATTCATTTTTTTGTGTGTGGAAATAAATACAGCTAGAGTACTTGCTGATAAATATCAGGGGAATGTTTATACTTTCCACAAAGTACGCTGTCTGTATGTTTATTTATGAAGTGTCAGATGTATATAAGGTGTATGACTGTATCATGTTTTCTTTCAAGATGCTATTATGACTGTACACAGTATTACCATAATATTGATCATATAAACTGCAGAAGAGCTACTTTAACAGGTTAATTACCTAATTCTACATTTCTGTGTATTGTTTTATGTATGTACAAATGTTTCAATGATTATATATATAATATATAAATATTATATAAAGTAAAGATTGAACACACAAGTAGTTATAATTAATTTAATATTATTGTTTTGTAATATAATAATCGTTATAAGTTGTAAGTAGTAATTTGAGAAAAACTCTATCATTGATTTAATATTTTTATGTATTGTATAATAATAATAGGGCATCTCGGTGGTGCAGTGGGTAGCACAATCACTTCACAATAAGCTAAATTGTCCGTAGTGTGTGTGTGTTTGTGAATGCAAGAGTGTATGGGTGTTTCCCAGTGTCATGTTGTGGCTGAAAGGGCATCCCCTGCATAGAACATATGCTGGATAAGTTGGTGGTTCATTCCGCTGTGGTGACCCCAGATCAATAAAGGGACTAAGCCGACAAGAAAAAGAATGAATAAAAAAAAATATATAAATAAATTTAAAATTGGTAAGTAGTAATTTAAGAAAAATTGTATAATTTATTTAATTTTTATGGATTGTATAATAATAATAGGCTGTCTCTGTGGCACGATGGTCCATTTCTATGTGGAGTTTGCATGTTCTCTCTGTGTTGGCAGTTGTTTCCTCCGGGTGCTCCGGTGGAAACAGAGGAATTGATGAACTAAATTGGCTATAGTGTATGAGTGTGTGTGAGAATGTGAGTGTGTGTGGGTGTTTCCCAGTACTGGGTTGCAGCTAGAAGGGCATCCACTGTATAAAACATATGCTGGATAAGTTGGCGGTTCATTCTGCTGTTGCTACCCCAGATTAGTAAAGGGACTAAGCCGAAAAGAAAAATTAATGAATGAATGAATGAAAGGATAATATAAAATACAAATGAAATAAACAGTATTGTTTTCGGTAACAGTATTGAGGTACAGAAATTCATTATATATAATAATAATTAAACTTAATAATCAATGTGTTAAAGCAGCACTTGTTATAGTTTCTTAAGCCCAAATGGTTTTAAATTTGCTCAATCTTACAGTCACAAGCCTCAAAAACACATCTAAATATAAATAATTCACACTATTAGATTGGAGAAAACCTTTAATGTCATTTATTTTTGTTGGTTCTTGGTTATTTATAATTCCATCCTGTACATTTGAAGTCAGAATTATTAGCCCCCCTGAATTATTCGCCCTCCTGTTTGTTTATTCTTTTCCTCCAATTTCTGTTTAACAGAGAGCAGATTTCTTCAACACATTTCTAATCATAATAGTTTTTATAACTCTTCTTTAATGACTGTTTTATTTTCTCTTTGTCATGATGACAGTAAATAATATTAGACTAGATATTCTTCAAGAGGCTAGTATTCAGCTTAAAGTGACATTTAAAGGCTTAACTAGGGTAATTAGGTTAACTAGGCAGGTTAGGGTAATTAGGCAAGTTATTGTATAACAGTGGTTTGTTTTGCAGACAGTCAAAAAATATCTAGCTTAAAGGGGCTAATAATATTGTCCTAAAAATGGCTTTAAAAAAATTAAAAACTGCTTTTACTCTAGTCGAAATAAAACAAAAAAGACTTTCTCTAGAAGAAAAAATATTATCAGACATACTGTGAACATTTCCTTGCTCTGTTAAACATCATTTGGGAAGTATATAAAAAAAAAAATAAATAAATAAATAAATAAAAGGGGGGCTAATAATTCTGAGCTCAACTGTATGGGATTACTGCACATTGTGATATCGATGCTGAAACCGTATATTGTGCATCTCTAATTTGCAGTTTATAATTATTCATTCTAGTGCAGGTTTTTGCAGAGGCATGTTACAGTTACTGGTGTTCAGACCTGTTTGTGTTTTTAAGCTGTATTTCTCTGCAGTGTGTTTGTGTGTGTTTGTGATAATCTGGAGTTTGCTGTTGTTTCAGACACACGACAGCAGAGAAGTTTTACATCGAGGCCTGTGATGATGGAGTTGGAGATGTTCTCGCCATCGACCGTGTGTCCACTGAAATGACCCTCACTGGTACTACACACACACACACACACACACACACACACACATTCAGTCTCGCACTCATAAGCCTATTTCGCACAGTGATACCGGTAAATATACGGAAAATTTCCTGGACGACTTTACCAGTGAATTCAAGAAAGCGATGTTCCCTGCGGCAAGGGCTTTACGGGATTTTTCCAGAAAAGTCTGTTCATACATTTATTCCAAAATACCGGCAAATTCTGAATTCATTCATCAGAAATGAGCTCTAATCGACTGCGCTTGTGTTTGTAAACATTTGACTACAATAGTAACTCTGTGGGTAAATCAGTATTGTCAACAACTTCGATGAAAACACATGGAGAAACATGTACATAATCTGTGTGTGTGCTGGCGCTCTCCTGCTGCTTCATGTGCACACGCGACGCGTCAAGCGACTGAAGGAAGCAGAGCTTAAAGTTAAACACAGTTGGCATTAAGAAGCGACAGAAATGTGATCAGACTAACATCTAGCAGCTGAATGTGTCTGGAAAATATTCAAAGGCTTTTATTTTCATAAACTGCATGGATGTGAATGCGTCTGATTGTAATGATTGGCTGGAGTAGACGTCTCATGTCAGTGTGTTCTAGACGTGAACGCGCTCTTCCCAGCAATCTTCCTTCTGCATTCACACAGCGCATTCCTATAGGTATAAAGTGATTGGCAGTTGAAGGCTACGCAGAGCGTGAGTCACCTGACATTGAGTGAGTGGTGCAGGCAGCCGAAAACATTTGGATACTTAAGATTAAAGGCTTCTCAACGCCAGGTTTCTGTTGCACGGAACGAACCTGCTGCAACTAAAATTATGCCACCTGTGCACTAGTCTATACACCAAGGCACGCAGGCACACTTTTATTCAAAATTGTGAAACTATATTATTAAAATAACTATTATTTTTGCATATAATAACTAAGTCAGCGACGCAGTGGCGCAGTAGGTATTGCTTTCGCCTCACAGCAAAAAGGTTGCTGGGTCACTGGTTCGATCCTCGGCTCAGTTGGTGTTTCTGTGTAGAGTTTGCATGTTCTCCCTGCATTCTCAAGGGTTTGCTCCGGGTGCTCCAGTTTCCCCCACAGTCCGAAGACATGCGGTACAGGTGAACTGGGTAGGCTAAATTGTGCGTAGTGTATGAGTGTGTGTGTAAATGTGCGGCTGGAAGGGCATCCGCTGCGTAAAAATGTGCTGGATAAGTTGGCGGTTCATTCCACTGTGGCGACCCCGGATTTATAAAGGGATTAAAGCCTGGTTTATACTTCTGTATCAAGTGACCGGCGTAACCCACGGTGCATGCAACGCACGTAGCTGTGCATTTATACTTCTGCGCACTGTCTCTGTTGGTCTGCATTAACACTTCCGAAACGCTAGTGGGCAGTGAGGTGTAAATGTTCCTCTGTGTCGAGTTTCTTCTCTGCTGTTTTGTTTTCCTGAACACTTCCTGGATGTACAAGTGGCTCAAACTCGCTCATTTTGAGGCAGGAACCGGCGGACGTGCAACAACTTTAACTATGAGGTAAACACAAAACAAAACTTTCCATCCGGAGCTCCTTCACGGGACTCCACACTTGTAAACAATCGCTCCATCAGGCTCGCACCATTCACGCGGCTCTCGGCCCCAGCCAGACTCGTCAGCGCTACCAAGCCAACCAATCACAGAGCTTGCGCTACGCGTCGTTGCGAGAGGTCAATTTTTGAGAGGTGCGCGTCAGCGACGGCTATGCGTCAGCGCCGTAGCATACGCCGGCGTTTGACGCAGAAGTATAAATCAGCCTTAAGTCGACAAGAAAATGAATGATGAACGAATGAATAATTAAGTCAAATTTATTTTCATTTTATTTAATAAAATAATGACTGATGTCGAACAGTGACCATGAAATACAGTATATTAATATATGTTAATCTTATTACTTATTGTCTTATTTTGTATTCTCTTATCATCTTATTTTCTCTTATCTTATTTATATATAATCTTTTACCCCTCCAATAACAGTCGTGTCCTCTGTTGTGTTTCAGTGAGGAAGGACGTTCCTCCTTCGGCAGTGACGCGACCAATATGTGGCATCATGGGAACCATCCGGCTGGTGGCAGGTACCATCTCTCTCAGAGACTCTGCATACATTTATTACTACATTAAAGGAGACCTATTATGCCACTTTTTACAAGATGTGAAATACTTCTCTGCTGTCTTTAAAGCAGGGGTGGGCAAACTCGGTCCTGGAGGGCCGGTGTCCTGCATAGTTTAGCTCCAACACCAATCAAACTCACCTGAACAAGCTAATCAGTGTCTTTAAGATCACTCGAAGTCCATAAGCAGGTGTGTTTGATTAAAGTTGGAGCTAAACGCTTTAAATTCAAATTAGATTGTGGTGTTTTCAGAAGAGGGCGGAGCTACAGGTGCCCGTGTGTCAGCATAGTGGCAGATTTAAAAACTAGACTAACTTCCTATGCTAATGAGGGAGAGATGGCCACTAGTGGGCGGGGCTTTCCCCCTCTGATGACACGTACAAAGGAAGAATGTCAATCAAAGTGTTTCTGCAGACTGTTTATATCAAGTCTGATCCTAAACAATACAATTAATTCATGTTTACCATTAGAAGCTGGATATATTCACACACTGCTGACACACAACTGTATTTAAAAGTGATTTCTGTCGTTTTAAAATACAGAATTAAACTAGAAGATGGTCTGTGAATGAGTGAGTGTTGATTATTGTGTGTTCAGGCGTTTACCTCATCGTCATCACCAAGAAGAAGAAAGTGGGTGATCTGTTGGGTCACGCCGTCTGGAAAGCGTCCGACTTTGACATCATTTCATACAAGAAGACGGTTCTGCATCTGACAGACAATCAGGTATGTGGGTGTTTACACTAATACTGCGTTTTATTTGAGCACTGCGCTTGAACAGATCTTCATCCACATTAGGAAAACACACTGCAGAAGCTCGTGATATAGACTTTTTTGGCAATTTCAAGCATTTCCAGTTCAACACCCCCAAACCACTGAGCGCTCCAACCACAACTATTTTCAGCTCGGATATTTTTATTTTGCTGGAAATCTGAAAGCAGTTTCTTTCTTTTTTTTTGCACATTTAAGAAATATCATGCAGGTCATATTTTACTCGAGCAACAAAAACCAGAAATGTTCATGTTTAAATAAAACACAGAACGTTTCTTGTTCTTAAGTGGAATATATTGACAGGATTTCTGAGATTAAGCCTTTTTTGTTGGCTTTAGTTTGTCGAATTAGGGCTGGGCGACATTGCAAAAAAAAAAAAAAACATGAAATCTTGTTTTATATCATTCGATATCAATAATTATTGAATATTTTTAAGAGTACATTTAGGTATGTTAGGATTTGTTTTCATTTAACCACTTTATTTTTATTTACTATCATCGCTAAGGCAAATAATTGAAATCAGGGCTATTTAATTAGTTTGTCATAGGGTTCATGAAAAGCATCCCAAACGCAGGGCTGGAGAGATATGACTTGCTATATGAGTGATGACACAACTGCATATAAGAGCCCATATGCTGTATTTTTGCTCCTTAAGACACCCACGTTGTTTTTTTCTACATTAAAATGTTAATAAATTTTATTTTAAAACTTCATAAAATCAGTGCACTGTACAATAGACTTTTTTTTTCTTTTTTTATTACAAACATTCAAATGTTGTTTTTTAGAGCACAACAAACGCAGTGCATTGCTGAAGTAGACTTCTTCTACATTCAGACACATTCATATGTTATGTTATGTCGTCTCTTTAAGAAATGTTGTCGTATTGAAACTGATCATGTTTATTTGTATCTTCCAGATGCAAGACAACAAAGTGTTCCTGTCCATGCTGAACAGTGTGCTGAACACTGACGGTTTCTACTTCGCCACAGATTACGACCTGACGCACACATTACAGCGGCTGTCCAACACCAGCCCAGAGTTTCAGGAGATGACCTTACTGGAGCGGGTGAGGACTCGTTGACATTTCTTTTGCTAAACGGAAATTCAGACTATTTTCCCAGTCAAAGTTTGCTGTTTAACAAATTAGGGAATAATAAATTAAAAGAAAGATCTAATTAAAAGATCTACTAATAGTGGCTGTCATGAGTACAACCGCATTCACCATTGAGAGGTGGGATAATGACTTATGAAGAGGATTTTTGTTTTCACAATCAAAAATAAAAAAAACAATCCAACCTTAGAGGCTGATAGCTCCTCACCTTCATCATAAGCCACTCCCCTTCATTATCATATCACCCCCTTCCTCATTAGCTCCACTACTTCACCATAAGCCCCTTCCCTTTGTTATCATCTCCTCCCCCTCATTAGCAGCTCCTCTCTTCATCATAAGCCCCTCCCCTTCATTATCATATTTTCCCCTTCACTAGTAGCTCCTCCCCTTCCACACAATCCCTTCCCCTTCATTATTATCTCCTCCTATTCATCAGCAGCTCCTCTCTTAACCATAAGCCCCTCCCCTTCATTATCATCTTCTCCCCTTTTCCAGTAGCCCCTCCCGTCCCAATAAGCCCCTCCCCTTTAGCATCTACTCTCTTTCATCAGCAGCTCCTCTCTTCATCATAAGCCCCTGCCCTACATTGTCATCCTCTACTCTGTACCAGTAGCTTCTCCCCTCCCAATAAGCCCCTCCCCTTTATCATCTCCCTTTCATCAGCAGCTCTTCTCTTCATCATAAGCCCCTCCCCTTCATTATAATTCACTCTGGGACAAGTTTTGCATGTAATTACTCATGGAACCTTACACAGAAATGTTCTTCTTTATGTTTTTAATGTGCTGTACTTTTGTATTTTTGAGCTTTGATGAATGATTTTCTGCTGTTTCTGCAGGCGGATCAGAGGTTTGTGTGGAACGGTCACCTGCTCCGAGAGTTTATGGCACAGCCGGAGGTAAAACACACTCACACATTCACATCAACAAACTTTACATTCAGCTGCTGTTCTCACACTCATTTGTAGGACAGGTGTTTCTGCGCCTTAATATGCAGTTGAAGACTACACTATTTGCTTTAACATTCCTTTGAAATTTTAATTCATTTTTTTTTAATTTAAGTGATGTTTCACAGAGCATGGATAATTTTAATTTCATATCATATTTTTCGCCAGAATAAAAATATATATTTTTGGCTAGAATAAAAATATATGTATATATATATATATATATATATATATATATATATATATATATATATATATATATATATATTACGGAATCCCGGAAGGGACATAGTGGAGGAGAAAAAAATTGGGTGGGTGAAAAAAAAATAATGGGTGAAAGAAAAAAATGGGTGGGAGGAAAATATATATTTCTAAGTTTTTGCGTTCTCTCGCAAAGTTTTGCGTTCCCTCGCTTCACTCACGTTAACCCTCCTGTTTTTGCCGAAATTCTCCCATATTATACCATTCTATCCCACTTTCTTTACATTACTGTGCGTCGATCGTCGCCTTTCATAAGCTACCTTTGAACCAGCGAATGCATGTATAAGCGCTGACTGACAGACGCGCTCCATACAATAAACTGATCCCAGATCAGCATCTGTACGCGCCAAGTAATCGGGTAATTTATGCACTCTGAAATGTTTCATATCATATTTTTCGCCAGAATAAAAATATATATTTTTGGCTAGAATAACGCTGATCTGGGATCGGTTTATTGTACGGAGCGCGTCTGTCAGTCAGCGCATGCATTCGCTGGTTCAGAGGTTGCAAAGTGAAAGGTGACGATCGATGCACAGATTAAATGTAAAGAAAGTGGGATAGAATGGTAAAATATGGGAGCATTTCGGCAAAAACAGGAGGGTTTACTTGAGTGAAGTGAACAGGAAGTGTTTGTGGAGAAACAGTTTTGCGAGGGAACGTAAAACATCTTTGCGAGATAACGCAAAACTTTGCGAGAGAACGCAAAAACTTTAAAATATATATTTTCCTCCCACCCATTTTTTTCTTTCACCCTTTTTTTTTTTTTTTCACCCAGCCAATTTTTTTCTCTTCCACTATGTCCCTTCCGGGGTTCCGTAATATATATATATTAAAAACTGCTAAGGTCAATATTATTAGCTCTCTTTAGAAATATTTTTTTTTCTATAGCCTACGGAGCAAACCACTGTTGTCCAAATACTTTACATCATGGATAAGACTAAAGAAATTAGCTATTAAAACTATGAAAAATTCCTATTCAGTAGAACTTTATATACAGATGAAGTCAGAATTATTCACACCCCTGTTTATTTTTTCCCCCAATTTCTGTTTAACGCAGAGATTTTTTCAACACATTTCTAATCATAATAGTTTTAATAACTCATCTCTAATAACTGATTTATTTTCTCTTTGTCATGATGACAGTAAATAATATTAGTCTAGATATTCTTCAAGACTCTTCTATACAGCTTAAAGTGACATTTAAAGGCTTCACTGGGGTAATTAGGGTAACTAGGCAGGTTAGGGTAATTAGGCATGTTATTGTATAACGATAGTTTGTTCGGGAGACTAAAAAATATTGCTTAAGGGGGCTAATAATATTGACCTTAAAATGGTTTAAAAAATTAAAAACTGCTTTTATTCTAGCTGAAATAAAACAAATAAGACTTTCTCCAGAAGAACAAAATATTATCAGACATACTGTGAAAATTACCTTGCTTTGTTAAACATCATTTGGGAAATATTTAAAAAAGAAAAAAACATCAAAGGGGGGCAAATAATTCTGACTTCAACTGTATACTTTCACAGAAAGGTGAATGATTTTACCGTATATACAGTCTATAAAGAAGGAATGGGTTTGTGTGTTATTCATGCTTTTTTCATGTGTTTTTCTCTTTCAGCTCCACAGATTCGTGTTTCCTGTTATTCACGGCTGTATCCTTTACATTCTGACATCAACGTGTGCATACATTAATATAATATAATTAGTGCTGTGCAATGATAACATTTTATTATTATTATTAATTAAAAAATATAAAATATTTGTTTATTGGTTTTAATATACAATACAGAATCATAAAAAAATGAGTAACACTCAGTAACAAGGTCAAACAGTAACAAGTATTATTTAAAGGTAAATAAATAATATTACTTAAAAAAAAAGGGAAGTCAGTTTTGTTCATACATTAAGTATATTGTTCTGATCGTAATTTTTCAAATTATTAATTTTAATTTTGTAATTTAATTCTATTAAATAAATATTATCTGCAAAATTAATCAATTATCAATTAATAATGCATTAATTAATTAATAATGCAATAATTAACTATTAATTACATTTTACTTGCAAAATGTAACTATGATTTTAAAATTTATGGAATATGAATAAAAGTGCAATAACACTTTAACTAACAACTAAGGTGTTTTTATAGCAGTATTCCCTTTACTAAAATTTATTGTACATCTTAACTTAAATGTATAAAAAATCTTAAACTAAAGCTGTTTGCCACTGTCTGGGTATTTAGTGATTATTACCAAGTGACTATATATATATATATATATATGTAGCATAATCAATAAAATAATGGAGTTTATATTTTTAAATGGTATTAGAAAATGTTTTATTCTGAAAGAAATTTAAGGGAAATTGTTAAAGACTTGTCTTCTGGAGGATTTTTTTTATTATTTATCATGACGTTTTATCAGTTTTGTTTTTGTTTTTTGTCCTCTTTTTTTGTATAATGCTTCTTTTATTAAGAAACTGTCATGTTTGTAAATGATGTATTGGATATTTGTTACCAATGTTGCCATATATAGTCAATGCTGTTGATTTGGCACTATAAAATAAAATTGTAAAAGTTTCAATTAAAATGAAAATGATAAATAAAAAACTATTTAAATAAAAAAAATACAAATGTGAAGTAATAAAAGTGTGAAACAAAATAAAAATGTGAAATAATTAAGAATAAAAGTGTAAAACTATTTAAAAATAGGGCAACACGGTAGCTCAGTGGTTAGCTCAGTGACCTCACAGCAAGAAGGTCACTGGTGGAGTCCCGGCTGGGTCACTTGGTGTTTCTGTGTGGAGTTTGCATGTTCTCCCAATGTTGGCGTGGGTTTCCTCCGGGTGCTCCAGTTTCCCCTACAGTCCAAACACATGCGCTCTAGGGGAATTGATGAACTAAATTGGGCGTAGTGTATGTGTGTGTGTGTGAGTGAGTTTGTATGGGTGTTTCCCAGTACTGGGTTGCAGCTAGAAGGGCATCCACTGTGTAAAACGTATGCTGGAAAATCTGACCCCTGATTAATAAAGGGAGTAGGCTGAAGGAAAATGAATGAATAATTCAAAATTAGATCATATGTAATGCTCAATCTTCATATATTGAGGTTTTGCTCCTTGATCTGCGCTCTCAGTCATCGCTATGAGGTCCTGCTGCATCAACGGTAAAATCTTCGACTGGAACCTGATTTCCCGCAGGAGCTGTTTCCGTGCTGGTGTCCGCTATTACGTCAGAGGTAAATCCAGTACATCTGCAGATGCTCATCAGATTTATTGATCGACTATTAAACGCTCTGGTTTCCTCCAGGTATCGACTCAGAGGGTCACGCGGCCAACTTTGTGGAGACCGAACAGATTATCCAGTATAATGGAGCAAAAGCTTCATTCATTCAGGTAAACCTCTGATCAGTCCTGGGGAGATTTAGGCCCCGTTTACAATAATGTGTTTTAGTTTGAAAACGCATAAGTTTTGCTACGGTTACGCCAACCGTCCACACTACGCCGGAGTTCTCGAGCGCCGAAAACGCTGGAGAGGCTGTTTTCATTCTGAAACGCTGCTGCTCCGTCTCAGTGTGGATGATGGAAAACGGAGACATCTGAAAACGGAGGCGGGGCTGCAGACATTCGCCTCTCTGATTGGGGCTTTTCCTCAATATTAAGTAGCCCACACACAGTTCAGTCCTGCATTCTCTCCTTGTAAGTTCGCAAGTTTGATCAAAGCTGCAGTCTCTTCTTCTCAGTTTGATATGGAAAATATACCGAGGACACGCGTCAATCTTCACAGGGAACAGTGTACTTTATAACTTCATTCACATCACCCTGGCTACGTTGTTTCACTTTCTCAACAATAAAATGTAAACATGATTTAAGGAACTGCCTATTTTCATTTTAATATTAACAACTAAACAGACAGCAGAAATGTTGAGGCGTCGTGCTGCATGAGCGTCATCTTCACTGTGTGGATATTTATAACAAAACGGAGCCGATAACGTAAACAACTGCCTCCTTTCGATTTCAGTGAAAATACGAAACGCACCCTCTCTTTTGCTGAATATCAGTTTTAATAATCGATAATGGCCATTATAAAAGTGTAACATACAATAAATTTATACATTATAGGAAATAAAGGCAAGCGATCAGTCAATATACAGAATAGGCTACGTGGTTACATTAATCATTAACTTATCTTTGCGCTCAGCCAAAACACGTTACCTGAGAACAAGTAATAGATTCCAGTGACCAAAGTCAGGGAATATGTCGTTAGATAAAGACAACAAGATGAATGAAATATCACGTTTAATAAATATAGTGAGATTAGATCCAGCGGGAGATGCTTGATGAGAAGTCCGACTAGCAGAGCTCTCATCTGGGTAGATGGGCTGCAGCGCTTGCCTGAGAGTGTGTGTCTGTGTGGTCACGTGATGTGCGTTTTTAGCGTTTTGGTGTGGACGGAGAGCAGTTCAGAAACGCTGAGTAAAACGCGAGTGTGGACGCGGATCGTTTTCATTCTAAAACGCCGTTTTAAAACTAAAACACACTAGTGCAAACGGGGCCTTATTCAACACATTTCTGAACACGATAGTTTAATTAACTCATTTTTAATAACTGATTTATTTTTGCCATGATGACAGTAAATAATATTAGACTAGATATTCTTCAAGACACTAGTATTCAGCTTAGTGGCATTTAAAGGCTTCACTAGTGTGATTAGACAAGCTGCTGGACAACAGTGGATTGGCTTGGATTTGGCTAAGTAAAATTGTACAAAAACGTATACAAAACTGCTTTTATTAAAGTATTAAGACTTTTTCCAGAAGAAAAAAAATTATACATTAATATTATATAAACAAACTCTAGTTAAACCTTTAAATTGCTGAATACTAGTGTTTTTGCCTTTAGAGGCTGGTCATTTTCACACACTGCTGGCACACAACAGTGTTTAAACCCCTTATATAAATGATTTTTGCATTACAGGTACTAGTTGACTAAAAAAAGCTCTGCAGCAAAATGCCTTACAGTTTGAGGTGTCCTACAGTTATGAATAATGCAGTAAATCTGTGTTTTTTTCCCTCAGACTCGAGGCTCCATCCCGTTCTACTGGTCTCAGAGACCAAACCTCAAATACAAACCAAAACCGCAGATCAGCAAAAGCATCAATCATGTGAGATTCACTTCTCCCCCTGTCCAGATCTGTGTTTTATTGATATTCAGTGATGAATTGTGCTGTTTTAAAGTGTTCTTGATGGATGTTTTAAAGGCACTATATAATAAATATAATATATTATTTTGTGTGTCATTTTAAAATGTATATATATAATTCAAAATTAAATATAAACTACCTGACAAAAGGCTTGTCTCCTATTCAAGTTTTAGGAACAACAAATAATAAGTTGACTTCTAGTTGATCATATGAAAGGTAAAGGCCTCTAGATTTTGCTTATTTGAGCACAATTAAATCTGATCATGTCTTGATTATTAATGATTTGATAAGGACAGTAATGTCTGACTCTGCTTAGACTAAAGTCTCATCACTGAACAGAAATAATGTCCAGTATAGAATATAAAGTCCTGCTGCAGTGGAGACAGAATGAATATTGTGTCTGACTCCATCATGAGCTTGGAGGACTGCATCCATACATCTCTGACATGACTCACATCACTGATTAATAAAGTCATCTGGGATGAAGAAGAAAGCGTTCCTGCAGGACTCCCAGAGTTCATCAAGAGTCTTTGTGTTCATCTTCAACACCTCCTCCTTCATCTTACCCCAGACATGCTCAATAATGTTTATGTCTTGTGACTGGGCTGGCCAATCCTGGAGCAGCTTGACCTTCAGGAGCTTTGATATGGAGGCTGAAGTATGAGGTGGAGCGCTATCCTGCTGGAGAATTGTCCCTCTCCTGTGGTTTGTAATGTAATGGGCAGCACAGATGTCTTGATCCCTCAGGCTGTTGATGTTGATCATCCACTCTGCAGATCTCTCGCACGCCCCCATACTGAATGAACCCCAAACCATGATTTCTCCTTCACCAAACTTGACTGATTTTTGGGGAAATCTTTGTTCCATGCTTGATCCAGTAGGTCTTCTGCAGTATTGGTGATGATTGATGCAGATCAACAGATGATGATCAGAGAAATCCACCTTCTGACACTTTTCCAAATGATCAACTAAAAGTCAAGTTATTATCTGCTGCTCTTACAACTAGAATCCACCACAAGACTTAAGTCAGGCAGTGTGCAGTGTGTGTGTTTATAAATCATTATATTTTGATGTTTATTTACAGCTGGATGGTTTCCAGAGACACTTTGACTCTCAGATCATCACATACGGCAAACAAGTGATTCTCAATCTGGTGCGTTGACATTCAGAAACATCTTTAATTATACAATATGGCTGTTGAATGCTTGATTCTGATTGGCTGATGAACATTCTCAGGTGTGTGGTTATTGTCAGATAAAGGCACAGCTAAAGTAGTTCCGGCAGGGTTTGAGTGCATTATGGCTCCATATCACTCCACTGAATGATCAGAGTTATTTCACAACAGTCAAAAATCACATCAAAACACAACAGGAGGAGGAGATGTGTGAGAAACTAGTGCTACACACAGGAGCAGTTTGAGGAGGACGAACATCTGACTAATAAACTCTCAACATACAACTTCTGACGTGTGTTTTTAGCTGTGCAAGCTGTAGGTTAAACATAATAATGCACTTAGGGATGGAGGATTATTAGAAAATAATGCACATGTAAGATGTGACGGCCACTCCGCTTCACCAAATCACCATTTTGCGTGTGCATTATTTACTAATAACAATTTAACAACCCTTTGTTATTGCTTATTTATTGCACTTGATAGATGTATATGTCTTTTTATTCTCCAGGTGAATCAGAAGGGCTCGGAGAAGCCGCTGGAGCAGGCCTTTGCAAAGATGGTGGGCAGTCTGGGAAACGGCATGATCAAGTGAGTAGAAACTGCTGATCTACTGGGATTTTCACACACAACCATCTCTAGGGTTTACAGAGAATGCTCCGACACAGAGGAAATATCCAGTGAGCGGCAGTTCTGTGGGTGCAAATGCCTTGTTGATGCCAGAGGAGAATGGCCAGACTGGTTCCAGCTGATAGAAAGGCAACAGTAACTCAAATAAGCACTTGTTACAACCGAGCTCTGCAGAAGAGCATCTCTGAACACACAACACGTCCAACCTTGAGGCGGATGGGCTACAGCAGCAGAAGAGCACACCGGGTGCCGCTCCTGTCAGCTAAGAACAGGAAACTGAGGCTACAATTCACACAGACTCACCAAAACTGGACAATAGAAGATTGGAGAAACGTTGCTGCTCTGATGAGTCTCCATTTCTGCTGACACATTCAGATGCTCGATTCACAATTTGGCCTCAGCAACATGAAAGCATGGATCATCCTGCCTTGTATCAGTGGTTCAGGCTGGTGGTGGTGGTGTAATGGTGTGGGGGAGATTTTCTTTGGGTCCATTAGTACCAATTGAGCATCAACGCCACAGCCTACCTGAGTATTGCTGCTGACCATGTCCATCCCTTTATGAGCACAGTGTCTCCATCTTCTGATGGCTACTTCCAGCAGGATAACACACCATGTCATAAAGCTCAATCATCTCAGACTGGTTTCTTGAACATGACAATGAGTTCACTGTACTCAAACGGCCTCCACAGTCCCCAGAGCTCAATCCAATAGAGCAGCTTTGGGATGTGGTGGAACGGGAGATTGGCATCATGGATGTGCAGCCGACAAATCTGCAGCAACTGTGTGATGCTATCATGTCAATATGGAGCAAAACCTCTGAGGAATATTTCCAGTAGCTTGTTGAATCTAGTTAATGTGTGTTTGGGTAATTATTTGTATTAAAAATACCAAATATATCAATGTACTTTCTCCAGACTAAAAATATGAAAGAAAATGATGTAAAAATGTCTTTGCTCTTTTAAACATCGCTTAAAAAAACACTTTAATAGCTGGGATAATGATTTTGTCCTTAACTGTGTACATCACTGCTAAGGATAATACCAAATAATGCAATAATAGTGTTTATAGTCATTTCAAGGTTAACGAAGAGAGATAGAAAAAAGATAAATAAATAATAAATAAACTGCACATTATAGATTTATTTTATTTTATTTTATTTTGTGCTCAAACACAAAATCTGCCAGAATTTATAGTGAAAAAATGTCAGTGTTTACATGTTTTGACAGGAGAAATTTGAGTGTTTTTAAAATCGTGAACTGTTTAAAAGTGTGCGGTATCTTGTGTTTTTCTGCAGGTACATCGCGTTTGACTTCCACAAGGAGTGCAGTCGTATGCGCTGGCATCGCCTCCAGATCCTGGTCGATACAGTGGCTGAACTGCAGGATGAGTTTGGGTACGTGACGCTTGTATGCTGATACTGACGGTAATAACGACACTTCAATATGTTCATTTTATTTAATATATATCGTATATTAAGATTTTAAGTAGTGCTGGGCAGACATTAATCACAGTAATTGCATTCAAAATTGAAGTTTTAACATTATATGTGTGGGTTATGTGTATTATGTATATGGGACACACACATAGAAGCAAAACTGTGCAAAACAATCCAATTTATGAATCTATTGCTATGGTGACATGCATTTGTAGCCCCACCCACTTAAAAAAAAAAAATTGAATTTAAAGCGACAGTGACCAAAAATTAGGATTGAAGCCTAAAGGGGTCTAATTCAGAGAGTTTGTGATGATCTGTGCTTATTTTGCGCTGAAACATACACATCAGACATCAGAGATCAGACAATTACATCATAATAGGTCTCCCTTTTTTGATAACCACACATAAAGCTGTGATTGTTTTATCTTTGTATTTGTTTTATCAGCTACTTCCTGGTGGATTCGGACGGTTCTGTTCAGATGCAGCAGGACGGGACGTTCAGGAGTAACTGTATGGACTGTCTGGACCGAACCAACGTCATCCAGAGTCTGCTGGCGCGCCGCTCACTGCAGTCTCAGCTGGAGGTGTGGTATTATTCTCCTTTACACAAACCCTTTATCCTGGACACATTTATAGTATATGTTAATCCCAAAGGTGTTCAGTCAAGCGGAAGGAGACTAATTTATTAATATTGGATGAAAAACACACAAGCAAACACATAATATCAGTGAGTGAGGGACAAAACACCACGATTATTACATGGAGATCAGTGATGGAATTATTTACCTTAATCTGAATAAGACAATAATGAGATTATGGTGTTTACATGAGTTACTTTTTGAATGTTCCTTTCATGATCCTGTTTTACATGTTATAACTCGATTCGACTAACGTCACCACGCTATCTACTATATGTTAGTTATTTATAGGTATAAATGTGTTCATATTTATAACTGTGTTTATTTATGTAGCTTCGTGGTTCTGCTGTATTTCATTTCAATGTTTGTCCGCACATGTAGACAATAAAGCTCAGCTTTGACTTGATTATTCTCCTTTATTATCCTCCTTTGGGCCCTATCATACACCCGGCGCAGTGTGGCGCAAGACGCGGCGCAATAGTCTTTTGGTAGTTTCAGCTTGGCGTAAGAGTCGTTTAGAGGTGTTGCGCTACGCTGTTTAAATAGCAAATGCATTAGCGCTCATATGTGCGCCCATAGGCGTTCTGGTCTAAAAAGGAAGGCGTTCTGAGGTGCACTGCTGGCGCGTTGCTATTTTGAGAAACTATAATAGATTTTTCATTAGACCAAAACAAACCCGGTCTAAAAGCGCCTCGCTTACGCACTGCTTAATACGCACAAGAGAGCAATAGGCAAATATCTTTACATATGAAAAAATTTAAATATTAAGGATATATATAGGATATAATAAGAATAGATATAGAATATAAATATAAAGGATTAAAATATTACAAAACTTATTATTTTCTAGCCTACATAAATATGAAGAATCACTGCTTTTATGTCTTCTTCATCTCGGGAGGCTTTTTCAGTTCATTCATAACAATTTGCTTTTGTATAATGTTATTATTATTAGCAGTATTATTTATTATATCCATATTTATATTTAGTTTTATTAAAAACAAGCTTAGATTTGTCCACCTGTCAGGTTTCAGACCATATGGGGCACAGCATGTGTTTTAGGATATAACTCAGGTTTTTGAGCACACTTTGTTATTATTATTCATTTATTCGTTTGCTGGAAATTTGAACTGAATTTAGAAATAGTTTTGAGAAGAATATTTGCGCTTAACAAACAAAATTAATTATTTATAGACTAATTGATGTCTGTGTGTAAAGGTTTCCCTATCCACGAGCGAATGTGAAAGTCCATTATCTCTCATTGTCATGCAGTAGATGCTCTGTTTAACAGTTTTCTGTTTACTGTTTGCTTGTGAAATGCTCATTTTTTCCACTTAGACTTACTTTGCATCCTGTAAATAGTGAATGCGCTCTTGGCGCGACGCAGCTGACTCTTAAAGGGAATGGGAGATGAGACTCTGATTGGTTTATTCTCAAAACACACCTATAACTCATTAAGAAAATAAAATCAACCCTTTTAGACCATGCGCCTTGGCGCAAGCCAGATTTCCCGTCCTTAAATTAGCAAAAACGCGTCCTGACATGCCCTGAAAGCGTTTGCGCCCTGCGTTTTGCGCTCTGCGCATGGACCGTCAAAATAGAGCCCTTTGATTTAAAATCTGACTAGGAGGCATGTTCTGTTTTTGTTTGCTTCTTTTATAGAGGATGGCAGTGCTACATGTGGGCCAGAGAATTGAAGAACAGGCGGATTTTGAAAAAATATACAAAAATGGTAAGAAAAAAACTACTTCTACTAATCTTTTTTTAGAGGCTTTACTTTAAGCATCATGTCTACCGTCCTTCACTGAGCAGAGGATGCCTTTCACACACAGTCTACACATTTTACCAGGTCGTGCTTTATAATAAGGGTCCATTAGTTATAATGGATAATGTAGATCCGGCCGGTTGTTCTGGCAGAATAAACCCTGACATGTTTATCAGCAGCTGTTGTGTAAGACTGAAGAGGTTATTCTGCGTAAACAACCGGCTGGATGTGCATTATTCTGATTATTATACAAATACTTGCAACTAAGCAAAACTATAAAACACAAAACATTGATCTGAGCTGTAATAGTTTACTAGCTCTTTCATTAAATGTTTGTAAAAAGAAAAAATAAAGTGAGTAGATGCAGCTTACACGAGCATGATTATACGGTTACAATTAGTTCAAAATGCTGCTGGAAGACTTTTAACAGGTACCAAGAAACAAGACCACATCACAGCAGTTTCACGCTCTGCACTGGCTGCCTGCGCACTATTAAAGTCACTATTAAAATGCTTCTCTTAGTTTTTAAATCTCTAAATGGCCCGGCACCTGCTTATCTTTCAGACATGTTAATTGAGCATCAGCCTGGTCAGTCTCTTCGCTCAGAATTTTCTGCATCCCTAAGTCGCGGCTGAAATGCCTTCGCAGTAGCTAGTCCTAGGTTGTGAAATGCTAGGTTGTTTCATTTGTTTTCGCTTTGGACAATAAATCTAATTGCAGTTATTTTTAGTTTTCTTCGTTGTACACAAAACTGTTACATGTTATGACAAACAAATATCCCTACAATAATAATAACTTACTATATGAGGGACGTAACCGTGTTTTATTCCCATTGTTTCTCCTCTCCAGCATGGGCGGATAATGCCAACGCGTGTGCCAAGCAGTACGCCGGCACAGGAGCCCTGAAGACCGACTTCACACGGTAAACTACATCAGCTCTGCGTTGTTTTGATATTTTAGCGATTTTCTATCTCACAATAAGAATTTATTCAGAGAGAGTGCCTGGAGTCATTATTTTATATTAGTTATAAGTCAATGCCAGAATTTTATGGATAGTAATTTCTTATTAATATTGAATGTTCTTATGTTTTTACCATGGTATTACTGCATCGTTTATTTTCAGCACTTGAACCACACCATTAAAATATTTATATGCTCTGTTATAAATATTTTAAATTAATAAACAATATAAAATAGTAAAATAAAGCCATTTTAAAAAATGTAAAAACAAATAGTTTTCTGTGAAGATACAGGACTTTTATTTTGCTCAATGAATACTTATCAATTATATAATATTGTTATCGTAATAAATACCAGAAAATATGATATGTAAGTCTATCAACCACATTTAGTGTTGAAGATGGTGTATGTGTGTGTGCGTTCAGCACAGGGAAGAGGACGCAGTGGGGTTTACTGATGGACGGCTGGAACTCCATGATCAGATACTACAAGAACAACTTCTCTGACGGCTTCAGACAGGTCACAGCACGCTCAGAAAAAAGATGATGCTCATGAATGCAGTTGAAAGCAGAAGTTTGCACACACTCTAAAAAAAGACCATAACCATTTTTTTTAAATGTCTGATGGTAAATCACTAAACGTTTACTATTTTAGGTCTGTTAGGATTACCAAAATTATTTAAATTAGCTAAATGTCAAAATAATGCGAGAATTTTTATTAATTTCTAGACAGTCAGAAGTTTACACACATTTCCTCTGTATTTTTTAGCTTTGCTTTTAAACTGTATAACTTTGGTCAAATGTTTTGGGTCTCCTTCCACAAGCTTCCCACAATAGTTTGCAGGAATTTTGGCCCATTCCTCCTGACAGAATTGGTGTCACTGAGTCAGGTTTGTAGGCTGTCTTGCTCGCACAAACTTTTTCAACTCTGCCCACACATTTTCTATAGGATTGAGGTCAGGGCTTTGTGATGGCCTCTCCAAAACATTCACTCTGTTGTCCTAACTCATTTGGCAGTATGCTTAGGGTCATGGTCTGTTTGGAAGAGCCATTTGTGGACTAGTTGTAATGTCCTGGCTGATGTGTTGAGATGTTGCTTCAGTATTCCTCCATAATGTTCTCTCTTCATGATGCCATCTATGCTGTGAAGTGGACCAGTCCCTCCTGCAGAAAAACAGCCCCACAACATGATGCTGCCGCCCCCATACTTCACAGTTGGGATGGTGTTTCTAGGCTTGTGCGCTTTCCCCTTTGTCCTCCAAATGTAACACTGCTCATTATGGCCAAACAGGTCAATCTTAGCTCCATCAGAGCACAGGACATGTCTCCAAACATTACTCTTTTCCCAGTGTCATTTAGCTAATGGTAATCTGGCTTTGTTGTTGATTCTGGCTTGTTGATTTTCCCATGTTGTCACACAAGGAAGCAGTGTGTTTGAGCTTTTCCTTCAACACTGTTCTACAGTTGTGCCTCACATTAACTCAAATGTTATCAATTAGCCAATCAGAAACTTCCAAAACATTGACACCATCATCTGAGCTTTTCCAGAGGCAGAATAATCTTACTGTGTGTAAACTTGACTTTCAAGAAGAGTTATAATCATTTCTCAAACAATCTTTCTCATTATTCTGCTATTAAGCACAACAGAAACACATTTGATAATCCTGACTTACCTAAAAGAGGAAAAGTTTAGTCACATTAGCATCTGACTTTATTTTAAATGGTTATGTGCGTTTTATACAGTGTATGTACACTTCTGCTTTCAACTAAACGACTAAATGAAACGACTTCTAATCTTTTGATAGTCTTTACTTTACACAGCAAGTCCACTGTCCTTCACTTGAGAGATATTTGGAAAAAAAATAAATAAATAATAATAATAATATATATATATATATATATAAATGAAGTAATCAAGTAATATTTAACAGATTCAGGAATTTTTCACAGTATTTGCTCTAATATTTTTTCTTCTGGAGAAAGTCTTATTTGTTTTATTTCGGCTAGAATAAAAGCAGTTCTTTATTCAAAACCATTTATTTAAAAGTCATTTATTTTAAAAGTATTATTACCCCAGTGCTGTAACTACGCAAGCACTGAAAATAAGAGTAATATCATTAAAGACCAAATGAGACCAAATTGAACCAGACTTTGTCATGAGACCGATCCCATTTTAGGTCTTCATTTTGATCAGATGTGTAGTTACTGCACTGTTCCTTTAAGGGGGTGATGTACATCTTCACCAGATCAGAACAGACCTACTTCTTATTGTTTTGGGGATTATTGCTCATTTTAATTTAGCGTTTTACACCATTAATTAGTAAACCCATGAGTAAAGCTGTTGGAATAGAGGATGTGTTGTTTAATGGAGTATTTTCTGTGGTGTTGATGGATTTGATTGTTGGTTTTTCAGGACTCTATTGACCTGTTCCTGGGGAATTATGCTGTGGAAGAAGCTGATATGAACACTCCTCTGCATGAGCCCAAAGACTGGAAGTTCCTCACGGTAACAAACACACACACACAGGGCTTTCACAGCGTGCTCTTTTAGACTCATTTAATTTCAGTTTACTTCATGACTTTATCCAAATGAAAGTTTCCTGTTTTTCTAACTGTGTGTGATGCTGGTGTTTTGTGTTACTGGTGTTATCTGTGCATGTGTTGTTGTTCATTCCCAGCCATTATTTTTAATACAATTTAGTTTTAGTTTTTGAGTGAGTCATTTTTAAAGCTTGTAGGAGTTCTCTGATATTGTCTTTACCTTTTTTAATATGATCAATACAGAGAAGAAAGATCTGTTTTTAATTAGGTTTTATTAGGACTTTAAACACTTTAAACAAGTATATATCTATACAGTGTTCAGCATAAGTGAGTTCACTCCTCACAAATCTCTCAATTAAGTGAATAATTTATACAGCACACTTTATAATATATTTGTGCATAAACATTAGATTAGTCAGTACTGAAGACAAATCTAAGGCTAATTGTCATGATTACCAGCGATCTAACCACCAGATCACACTCAATCGCACATAGGACTACAAATTTGCTTGTAAATGGACTACATATTCAGTCATGCAACACACACACATACAACCGGTTCCTGATCCTGACTGATTGCATACACACAGCTGATGCTGCTCAAGTACTGATTACAAGCAGATTTGTAGTCCTTTGTGCGTGTGTGTGTGTGTGTGTGTGTGTGTGTGAGTGTTTACCAGCGACCTCTGGTGGTTAGATTGCTGGTGATCATGACAATTAGCTTTAGATTTGTCTACTGACAATAATCTAACTAAATAACATATGATAACCGTCCAAAATTGAGAAGCCCAAATGTATATGTTAGAAAAAAATATGAAATTAACTAAAATGAAATTATCTAAAAAGAGCAAAAAATATGATTTTTTTTCATTTTGTAGTTTTTTTTTTCAAATTTTTTTTGCAATATTTTGCATGAATTTAAATGTATTCTCTTTCCATCTGTAAAGATGTTCTGCTTCTAAAATATATCTTTAATAAATGTATCTGTTTAATGAATCTGTTTTGTTTAAATGCACTAAAATATTCACTGAGAAATGGAGAAAAATATTCATCTTTAAAATAGGGTGCACTTACTAATGCCAAGCAAGCATCATAAATACTATATACAGGGCTTTACAATAACACCCGCCAAATGCGGGTAGATTTCAGCTCTGGCGGGTCGGAAAGCCGCTCCCACTAGACACTTCGGCAGTTTGGAAATAATTTTTAGATTGTAGTTTTCTTAAAGCAGAGTTCGACAATAAGCATGGCCCAAAATGTGATCTTAGAATCGAGAAACAGCACGACTGACAACAATAACTGTGTTCACGCGAGACAAAGCAGGTGAATACCGTATGAGAGGAGGATTAACTCAGGTGATGTGATGCGCGCGTTTACTTGCGCTTTTTTCCGTTCACTTGCGATCGGTTCTCTTTGAAAAAGACAAGATGCTTGTGCGTGTACCCACAGTCCTGCTGCTTTTAAGAGCTCAAGATTGAAATATATATATATATATATGTAAGCAGCATCACCAGTCACTGCTTTCGTTTTAATTATGCTCAGGCACGTGATCATCCTTTCATTATCACACACAGTATGTTTTTACCTGCTTTCTTTTGCTTAGTTATTTTTGTTAATATAGTTTAATTATCATCCTTTACAATAACATTGCTTTATTATGAGATTAACTCCCCATTTGTGTGTAGTAACTGCTGATCTGGGACCTTTAGCCAGGAAAGATTACTGTGCATATTTTAGATGCATGACAATAGATCTTATTAAATTTTAATACAAAAACAAATGTTTTGTTGAATAAAGTGCATGTATACAGCTATATGTTTGCTTGTTTTGACATATTTGAACATGTGGCTGATAAATAATTATGTCCTTTTGGTGTGGTCAGAGATGAATTTGGTAAAACCTTTGAGCACAGTGAGCAAGCTCATACACAACACACACACACACACACACACACAGTGAAATAAATGAGGAGGCATGTGGACAACACAAACATCTAAATCCAGTCATTTTAGCATGTCAGAGTCACATTTATTAATATAAAATATATTTTCCAAACAACAGAAGTGTGGCTGCTAAAAATGGCGAGTGGCTAGTAATGTTGGAAATCTACTAGCCACAGTGGCTGGTGATCAAAAAAGTTAATGTAAAGCCCTGACTGTATAGATATTATTAAAAATGTTTTTCTGCATTGAGATTGAGATGAGCGAGTGCTGATGTTTCTCTCCTCCTCTTCCAGCTGCCGATCATCATGGTGGTTGCGTTCTCAATGTGCATCATATGTCTCCTGATGGCTGGTAAGATTAATATTAATACTGTACAGTTTTTAAAGCCTGTAAATGATCAATATAGGCTGTTTTTAATCACGTGGTTCTGGTGACGTGCGAAATTCAGATGAAGGGCAGAAAGTTAAAAAAATCTGAATGGGAGACAGAGGAAAGTGTATTTTTGCGATTATACCATATTTCAGTTGAGATATTAATAGATAATATGCACATATGTTGGGCATGATCCTTATATCAGTAGGAAGGCAGAGTTTTCTACTGAGCTAAAATATATTTGTCTGTCATCAATGCAGTACAGACTGTATAATATCGTTAAATGTAAAATACTATAGTAAATACCATAGTGTTCGGAAGCACAGTATAGATAATTACTTGAATTAAACTGTGCTAGTAATTATATTGTTGCTGTGGTACAACACAACTGTAGTAATGAACTAATTATTCAACAGGCTTCAGTTCTCTACGCTATAATCATAGTGCACCACAGTTTACACTAACATTACAGCATTTACTACAGCTTATCAGTTTACTATAGTAACTATATATTATTCTGTAGCATTCATTAACAGAGTTATACACATTACACACTTTACTATGTGCTTCATAAACATTTACATTTAGTCATTTAGCACAGTGGTCCCCAACCTTTTTCTAACTGCGGACCGGTCAACGCTTGACAATTTTACTGCAGACCGGGGGGTTGAAATAATAATAATAATAATAATAATAATAAACGTGACTCCACTGTGTACTCATGTGAAACTTTATTAGCACATTGCTCCACCATTACAATGCTATTATAACATTAGGAAGTAATAACTGTATAAGCACATTGCTCCAATAATATGACATATAACATCAAAAACTGTCCGTACCGCTAAATCAATGGGAGCCCTGAGCTTGTTTCTTTGCAACGAGATGGTCCCATCTGGGGGTAATGCAGAAGGAAGATTGCCGGAAAGAGCGCGTGCACGTGTAGAACGTGCTGACGTGAGACGTCTGCTTTAGCCAATCAGAACAGTCAGACGCATTCACATCCGCGCGGTTTATGAGAATAAAAACCTTTGAATATTTTTCCAGACACTTTCAGCTGCTAGAAGTTAGTCAGATCACGTTTATATGTTCTTCCTAATGCCAACCGTGTAAATAAATATCGATTAGAATACCCTTATGTTAAGCCGTTGTTTGTTTATCTTCAAGCTTAGCGTGTGTCCGTGAAACAGCCAGTGAGCGCCTGCACACACACATATCATGTACATCTCGACATGTGAAAGTGTTTCTGCCATGACTTTAATCCAGAACACCGGCAGTGTTGTTGTCTCGAACACTGTTTAAGGCCGCCGTCATTTGCGATCTCCAGCAGTTGCTCTTCTTCTTGCATGGACATGCTGGATTCAGCTGGTTTGTTGACAAATGGGTCGCGTATCTATTGCTTGGCCGTTTGTGGGTCCTTTGAGGTTGGGAAGTAGCGCTCAAACTCCTTTAACAGTGAAGACTGGTGATCGTGCACCAGCTTGGTGAGTGAGGGCGCAGGCTCAGTCTCACACAAAATCCCTGCTTATGTTGGAAACATGTCCAATATAAATCTAGTTTGGCTTTAAATGCAGCTACCTTACCTGCCAACTTAAACATAATTAAATCTTGTGCGGCCCGGTACTGATTGATCCACGGACCGGTACCGGTCCACGGCCCGGGGGTTGGGGACCACTGATCTAGCAGACGCTTTTATCCAAAGCGACTTACAAATGAGGACAAGGAAGCAATTTACACAACTAAGAGCAACAATTAATGAGTACTATAGGCAAGTTTCAGGTCTGTAAAGTCTAAGAAGCTAAACATTAGTCATTAATTATTTTGTTTTTTTTAAGTTAGTGGAGGAGTCAGAGAGGCAATTGCAGATTAGGAAGGGAAGTGGAGATTAAATAGTTGAGTTTTTAGTGGTTTCTTGAAGACAGCGAGTGACTCTGCCGTTCTGATGCAGTTAGGGAGTTCATTCCACCAGCTGGGAAACATCTTTATTATAATTTATTTATTATTTTAATAATATAATAGTCTTTATAATAAATGACTATAGTTTCCCCCATGTGGATATCTTCCATCACGAAATAACAGATGAAAGCATAGAAAAGAAAAGCATAGAAACAGAAAGTGTGTCAATAATTTAATTATTAATATTAAGCAGTTATCATCATTATCCATTCATTTTGATAGGAAAGCGTGTGACCATGTAAAAATAATTACAGTGGGGGAAAATAAGTATGGAAAACGTACAGAAAACATATTTCTAAAGGTGCGGTTCACTTGAAATTATCCCCAGATGTTGGTAACAACCAAAGAAATCATGGGCATGGGCAATATGGGCGATTGCCCAGGGTTGAAACTTGCTGAGGGCTGCACAGGGAGACGGTGCAACGACAAAAAACTAGAACCTAAAGTTTATTGATAAACTTTGATGTTGGCTTGAGAAAGCCAACGTGACTGCACTAGGACTGGGAATGGCAGTTGGCAGGAAGCACGGCGGCAGTTGCTAAGTGGTTGCTAGGCAGTTGATAAAACAATTATGGCATTGTTAGGTGGTTGCTAAGCAGTTGCTAAATGGCAATGCTCGTGTACATGTTTTATCAAATGCTAATACTTAGTAGGCATTTCTAGCATATGTTATTGTATTTAGATAATCATTCATAGCATGTAGCTAATCGTTATTAGCACTTGGCTTCCATTATCATTGTTACCATGCATAGTACACAGGAAGTCCCATTTGCTAGCATGAGTCAAACAAGCCAATGGCCAGGTCCCTACGATGTTCTGATGTAGAGATATTGCTGTTTTTAAATGGTTGCTAGGTTATACTGTTTTGTTGCTATGGGGACATTTGACAGGTTAGTGATGACACATCAAAGCTTGACAATATGAGTGATCTTAATCAACCCCGATGTTTCTATGACAGTCTTTATGAGTGTCAAAAACTGGACTTGAACATTATGCATTCCTGGTGTTGTGTTGCGGCTGGAAGGGCATTTGCTGTGTAAAACAAATGCTGGATAAGTTGGCGGTTCATTCCGTTGTGGCTACCCCTGATTAATAAAGGGACTAAGGGAATGAACATTAAGTAAAAACGGCTTGCCGTATTTTTTTGAAAATACAACGCTTAATAAGTGTGAAAGTGATGCATGCAGAAATGGCCATATCAGTAAAAAAAAGCATGCAAAAATGGCTTGCCATATTATAAGAAAAATAATGCTTAAAAATTATTTATTGGAAAACTATAAGTCTGATAAACCTTAAAAATATAGCAACAAAATTTAACGCAACTAAATACAGCTTTTGGCCAAATTTGGGGCTTGTATAATTTTTTATATGCTCGGATTATAAAAATTTAATATTTAACATTTTTTATTATGTCTTATAGGCATGAGGAGATATAGCAACAATCTTGAATGCAGAAAGCACATTTTGACCACATTTGGGCCTTGTGGCATGAACGGCCTAGGAGGAGATACGTTTGTTTTCAAGGACAGAGTAGCATAACAGTATGCTGGCTTTCTCAAGCCAACATAAAAAGTGCCCCAGTAACACTGAACTGTGCCCCAGTAAAAGCTTGGAGATGCTTTTATGCAAGTGAATTAATTTAGAGTGGTAATCCCAGAATAAAGCCGTTAGGGGTCATTCACATTTGGCTTCATTTGCATGTGCAACTGAAACAGCGCTGGTCAACACAAACTGACGCATGAATCTCCGGCTTCACCTTGGCTTTAGTCTTGACTAGTGCAGTTGAATGCCATCTGTCCTGAGAGCCCTGTAAAAGTGTAGTATTGACGCATGCTCGGGGTCTGTATGCGATATCTAGTGTATATATCTATGGCTGAGAAACGCTCACCAGTGTGAGTATAATGAGTGTGTGTTTCCTCCATCAGGGGACACGTGGACGGAGACTCTGGCGTACGTGCTGTTCTGGGGCTCCGCCAGCGTGGTGACCGGCGGCGTGATCCTCTTCAACGGACGGGACTTTGTGGACGCCCCGCGGCTGGTGCAGAAGGAGAAGATGGACTGAACCTGCGTGTGTGGGAAGCAGTCGGGCCCCGCGGAGCCTTCATCCTCATCCTCACCCTGGAGCCTGTACTGATGACGATGATGATGATGATGATGAGGGCCCGGGGTCGAACACACGGGGTCACGCTGCTCTCCACACCAGCATCAAGCCACGCCCACTTTCCCATGATTCCATCTGCCGGTCGCACCGCTGGACGCTCAGGCTGACCGTGAGGCCCTCGGCCCCGTCCTCACGGTGCAACCAGATCCGCCATTTTGGCTCAAGCGCTGGCTGATGATGACGTGTTTGTCTTGTTTTCTAATAAACGCTGAGTGACAGTAAGGCAGCTGTTTACATGAACACCTTCAGCTAACGTTCAGAATAGCTCTGTTTAAACATTTGAGTGTTTTAAACATTAAACAGTGAAGTTGTCCCCAAAATAACTCATAGTTTGGACAAACCGCACACTTCATTTACTGGACTGACTGCTGTTGGGCCGTTTTCCTCCACTCTGGGCTGATTTTGAGTCTCAGGCTGTACTCACACTATGTACAGTTGCCTTGAACCGGGCCAAAGTAAGCTTGTCCCCCCTCCCTGCTCCCCCGACGGCCCGCACTCACATTACATTCAGACCTGAGCACGCTTACTTCATCAATGCTGCGCTGTTCAGTAGAGAAGCGCTCTCGCTCAGCACAGTGGAGATTTCTCTAGTTATATCGGTTGATATGCGGTGACACACAGTCAGATATTTCACTGAACTGATCCAACACTTTTGACACTCATAATCAATCATAAAGCTCTCGTGCTGCAGGTATTAGGAGGTCTGCTGAAGGTGCAGCTGTGGTGCAGTGAGGGGTTTGCGTCTTTAATAATCTACGGCAGTTTGTGTTCACTGAACAGTCAGAATGATTAATAAACACATATGAAACAGCCCCTTAAAGTCACGTCTCGCTTTCAGTTTCGGGCTTTGGCGTGTTTTGCACTCACACACAAGCGTACCGCGCCAAAGCCCAAGTGAACCGCGCCGCCAGGGCCGGCCAAGTGAACTGTGCGTGAGCCCGATTCAGAGCACTCACACTTGTCAAACGATCCGGGAAACGGCCTGGGCACAGTTCGGATAGCACAGTGTGAGTACGCTCTTAATTTGGCCCCAACTTGAGTTTCAGAAAATGAAGTGTTTTTTGCTGACAAATCTTATTTTGACATATTTTGGGAAAATGTTTTGAAAATTGAGCACACTGACCCCCCTTTGGTTATGTTGGGGGCTGTTTTTGCCCCATTGACTTCCAATATAATCACATTTATTGATTGTTGTTTATATATACATATTTATATTTGTCGTTTATCTCTGTAAATTGGTCATATTAATTATATGTAATGATATTATTAATGTAATATTTTAATCATTTTATATTTAATATTTTAGAATATATTTAGGGATTTACACACAGCGTAAGTGAGAATTATTCGCCCCCTTTTAAATTTTTTCTCTTTTTTTTAATATTTCACAAATGATGTTGAACAGATTCAGGAAATTTTCACAGTATGTCTGATAATATTTTTTCTTCTGGTGAAAGTTTTGTTTGTTTTATTTCGGCTAGAATAAAAGCAGCTTAAATTTTTTTATGAACCATTTTAAGGTCAATATTATTAGCCTGTTTAAGCTGCCTACAGAACAAACCATCGTTATACAATAACTTGCCTAATTACCCTAACCTGCCTAGTTAACCTAATTACCCTAGTGAAGCCTTTAAATGTCACTTTAAGCTGTATAGAAGTGTCTTGAAGAATATCTAGTCTAATATTATTTACTGTCATCATGGCAAAGATAAAATAAATCAGTGATTAGAGATGAGTTATTAAACTATTATGATTAGAAATGTGTTGAAGAAATCTGCTCTCTGTTAATCAGAAATTGGGAAAAATGAACAGGCCGAATAATTCTGATTCAGCTGTATATGTTTGGGCTGCTCAATGTATGGTTTCAGCATTGATGTCGCATTGTGTGTGTCCACGATAGTCAAATCTCAGTGTTGAGTCGGGATTACAGTTGATCAACACAACAGGTGAGAACGCATGAGATCTGTGGAGTTATTACAGAGTATAACTATAACAGAGGGAATCTTTATCATTAGCATGTGTTTTAAAGACATTTCAAGAGTTCACACTTAGATATTGCTTGATGATCATAGCAGGTTTGGCATGCTGTCCCGGGAGAGAACCCTGAGCTCGGGAATAATTGAGCCCAGGGCTCCCGCCTGTCATGAGCATGTGAGGAGAGTTCGAGATCAGGTCGTTTGTGTTTATTAGTTTGTGAAACTTCAAGAGTTTAAAGCATTCAGGCTAAAAAAGTACAACATTTGTAACTTTAATGAAGATTCATTTCACTGAATAGTTATAATAATGAAGACTATATACGGTTCTTTTACATTTAATTATACAATTTCTCTAACCTGAATACTGTTTGACTCGGGGGAATCATCAAGCACTGCTTATTTGACCTTTTTCTGCGATTTGTTTATAAATGATTCACACCTTACAAAATCTCCCGCATCTGTCTCATGTTGAAATGTACAGATTGAGCTGCTGTTTTCAGAAAGTGTTTCACACAAAAGTGATTTTACTGATGAGCGGCAAACTATTTTTAATACCAACAAAAAAACAGTAGTTTATTATTATTTTAATAAGAGCGCTAGAATGCTTTTTAGCTCAGGGTTTCTGTGTGTGTGTTTGTTTGTTTAGGTGCTAGAATTTTTGAGGTACGTAGTTGCAAACAATTTATATGGGAAATATATATATATATATAAACAAACATATTAAGTTGAATATTACTGCACTTAATTTGTTCATTTCCAGCCAATATAAATTGTTTACAACCACTTACCTTACATTTTTATTTTTATTATAAATTTAATGAACCATTTTTGTCAGTACACTCAAACACGCACACAGACAGCTAAAGCCAGAATTATTAGCCCGTGTGAATATTTATTCCTCCAATTTCGGTTTGTTGGAGAGATTTTTTCAGCACATTTCTAATCATAAAAGTTTGTCCTGGAGACAATCCAAAACTAATATTGCTGAAGGGGGCTAATAATATTGACCTTAAAATGGCTTTAAAACAATTAAGAACTGCTTTTATTCTAGCCGAAATAAAACAAATCAGATTTTCTCCAGAAGAACAGATATTATCAGACATACTGTGAACATTTCCTGAGTCTGTTCAACATCATTTAGGAAATATTTGACAAAGAAAACTCACAGCCGAGCGAATAATTCCGACTCAACTGTACATCATGTTATTTGTGGAAAACAAGACAAACACTTCATCTGTGCGTCAGCTGCTGGTCAAGTGTGGTGAACTGGAGGATTTGAGACGGAGCCTGATGTCTTCTTCATCGTCAGCGGTGCTTTAATGGACAGTAAATCATGGTCTTCCTCAAACTGAAGAACTGACTGTGTTCTGGATCTTTCTGTGGGACCAGTAGCGTCTCCAGCACTGAAGCCGTGCCATATTTAGTTGGGTTTTTTTGTATACAGTATAGTTTTTCCTGCATCATTTCTGAACGCTTTGAATGAATGATGCCTTACTGTATTTACTGTCCTCACTGCAGCTGGAGCTTCAGCAGAGAATGTACAAATCATGTCAGTTATTATTATTATTATTATTAAAGTTATGATCATGATGCTCTCCTGGCAGTCTGAAGGGATACAGGAATGAGCTGTTTTTAGGTTTCTGCAATAATAAATGAAGCGTCACCAAAATGAACAATTATAAACAATTATCCTTCATAGTGCACTCAAAATACTGCATTTGCAACTTTGCATGTGATGTTATTTCATTTAGCCGTTTCTATTAAAAATCAAGAAACTGTTTGAAATTGCAAATTGTGCTGAAATTTTAATAATAATGAGAATTTGTATTGAAATCACATTGCAATCATAAAATCACAGATAAAAAATGAAATAAAAAAACACAAAGGATTTTTACCTTCTTACAATTAATCTTACAAAAATCTTACAATCCTAAAGTCTAAAAACACTTTAAAATCGTACAATTGTAAAACCTTAAAACATTGTAAAATCTTACAATCCTAAAGTCTTAAAACATTGTAAAATCTTACGATTCTAGTCTTAAAACATTGTAAGATCTTACAATCCTTAAGTCTTAAAACAATTTAAAAATCTTACAATTGTAAAACCTTAAAACATTGTAAAATCTTACAATCCTAAAGTCTTAAAACATTGTAAAATTTTACAATCCTAAAGTATTAAAACACTTTAAAATTTTACAATTGTAAAACCTTAAAACATTGTAAAATCTTACAATCCTAAAGTCTTAAAACATTGTAAAATCTTACAATCCTAAAGTCTTAAAACATTGTAAAATCTTACAATCCTAAAGTCTTAAAACATTGTAAAATCTACAATCCTAAAGTCCTAAAACATTGTAACATCTTACAATTCTAGTCTTAAAACATTGTAAAATCTTACAATCCTAAAGTCTTAAAACATTGTAAAATCTTACAATTCTAGTTTTAAAACATTGTAAAATCTTACAATCCTAAAGTCTTAAAACATTTTAAATCTTACGATTCTAAAACCTTAAAACATTGTAAATTCTTACAATCCTAAAGTCTTAAAACATTGTAAAATCTTACATTCCTAAAGTCTTAAAACATTGTAAAATCTTACAATTCTAGTCTTAAAACATTGTAAAATCTTACAATCCTAAAGTCTTTAAATATTGTAAAATCTTACAAGTGTAAAACCCTAAAACATTGTAAAATCTTACAATCCTAAAGGCTTAAAACATTGTAAAATCTTACAATCCTAAAGTCTTAAAACATTTTAAAATCTTATGATCCTAAAGTCTTAAAACATTGTAAAATCTTACAATTCTAGTTTTAAAACATTGTAAAATCTTACAATCCTAAAGTCTTAAAACATTTTAAATCTTACGATTCTAAAACCTTAAAACATTGTAAATTCTTATAACCCTAAAGTCTTAAAAAATTTTAAATCTTACAATTCTAATCTTAAAACATTGTAAAATCTTACAATTCTAGTCTTTAAACATTGTAAAATCTTACAATCCTAAAGTCTTAAAACATTGTAAAATCTTACAATTCTAGTCTTTAAACATTGTAAAATCTTACAATCCTAAAGTCTTAAAACATTGTAAAATCTTACGATTCTAGTCTTAAAACATTGTAAAATCTTACAATCCTTAAGTCTTAAAACACTTTAAAATCTTACAATTGTAAAACCTTAAAAAAATGTAAAATCTTACAATCCTAAAGTCTTAAAACATTGTAAAATCTTACAATTCTAGTCTTTAAACATTGTAAAATTTTACAATCCTAAAGTCTTAAAACATTGTAAAATCTTACGATTCTAGTCTTTAAACATTGTAAAATTTTACAATCCTAAAGTCTTAAAACATTGTAAAATCTTACAATTATAGTTTTAAAACATTGTAAAATCTTACAATCCTAAAGTCTTAAAACATTTTAAATCTTACGATTCTAAAACCTTAAAACATTGTAAATTTTTACAACCCTAAAGTCTTAAAAATTTTTAAATCTTACAATTCTAATCTTAAAACATTGTAAAATCTTACGATTCTAGTCTAAAAACATTGTAAAATCTTACAATCCTAAAGTCTTAAAACATTGTAAAATCTTACGATTCTAGTCTTAAAACATTGTAAAATCTTACAATCCTTAAGTCTTAAAACACTTTAAAATCTTACAATTGTAAAACCTTAAAACATTGTAAAATCTTACAATCCTAAAGTCTTAAAACATTGTAAAATCTTACAATTCTAGTCTTAAAACATTGTAAAATCTTACAATCCTAAAGTCTTAAAACACTTTAAAATCTTACAATTGTAAAACCTTAAAACATTGTAAAATCTTACAATCCTAAAGTCTTAAAACATTGTAAAATCTTACAATTCTAGTCTTAAAACATTGTAAAATCTTACAATCCTAAAGTCTTAAAACACTTTAAAATCTTACAATTGTAAAACCTTAAAACATTGTAAAATCTTACAAACCTAAAGTCTTAAAACACTTTAAAATCTTACAATTGTAAAACCTTAAAACATTGTAAAATCTTACAATCCTATAGTCTTAAAACATTGTAAAATCTTACAATCCTAAAGTCTTAAAACATTGTAAAATCTTACAATTGTAAAACCTTAAAACATTGTAAAATCTTACAATCCTAAAGTCTTGAAACACTTTAAAATCTTACAATTCTAGTTTTAAAACATTGTAAAATCTTACAATCCTAAAGTCTTAAAAATTTTTAAATCTTACAATTCTAATCTTAAAACATTGTAAAATCTTACAATCCTAAAGTCTTAAAACATTGTAAAATCTTACAATCTTAAAGTCTTAAAACATTGTAAAATCTTACAATCCTAAAGTCTTAAAACATTGTAAAATCTTACAATTCTAGTCTTTAAACATTGTAAAATCTTACAATCCTAAAGTCTTGAAACACTTTAAAATCTTACAATTGTAAAACCTTAAAACATTGTAAAATCTTACAATCCTAAAGTCTTAAAACATTGTAAAATCTTACAATCCTAAAGTCTTAAAACATTGTAAAATCTTACAATCCTAAAGTCTTAAAACATTGTAAAATCTTACAATCCTAAAGTCTTAAAACATTGTAAAATCTTACAATCCTAAAGTCTTAAAACATTGTAAAATCTTACAATCCTAAAGTCTTAAAACATTGTAAAATCTTACAATTCTAGTCTTTAAACATTGTAAAATCTTACAATCCTAAAGTCTTAAAACATTGTAAAATCTTACAATCCTAAAGTCTTAAAACATTGTAAAATCTTACAATTCTAGTCTTTAAACATTGTAAAATCTTACAATCCTAAAGTCTTGAAACACTTTAAAATCTTACAATTGTAAAACCTTAAAACATTGTAAAATCTTACAATCCTATAGTCTTAAAACATTGTAAAATCTTACAATCCTAAAGTCTTAAAACATTGTAAAATCTTACAATTCTAGTCTTAAAACATTGTAAAATCTTACAATTCTAGTCTTAAAACATTGTAAAATCTTTCAATCCTAAAACAGAAGTAAACTGTAATCGCAGTGTCAAACGCAGCACTGAGATCGAGCAGTACCAGCACTGTTAGTTTACCTGAATCCATATTGTGGCGATTGTCATTGATTATCCTTATAAGAGCGCTCTTTGTACTGTGATGTGCTTTGAAACCAGATTGAACACTGTCTAAACACCCCTTGCAGCTTAAGAACGTGTTAACTTGCTTAAAAACAGCTTTTTTTTTCAATGATAGGGTGATTTCAAGGATGCTCTTTGCAGTTATGGGTATGTTTGGAAAAGTCCCTGAGAGAAGTGAAGCATTTACCACTGTTAGGAGATCCATTTCTAGACAGTTGAACACCGTTTTAAAGAATGATGTGGGGAGTGTGTCATATTATCCTACAAATGGCAAGGCAATGAGCTTTAAACATTACATGATGTTGTTATATGAAGGCTAAATTGAGTCTGCAGTTATAAAAACATGTTTGACGTATCGTTTTGTGTCAAATCAAATCACTTTTATTATCACATCATCTGCAGCACATGATGAGAGAAAAGCTTAGGTCTGTGGTGTGATGAACAAAGAGCAGGAGTCAAAGATACAGTTTAATGAAGACAATAGTTTACAGTTTGATCAACAGAAAACAGCTTCAACACACTCCATAGGGGTCATAGTCTCAATTTCACAGAAATCATAGAAAGAGCAGCACACATGTGGTCAGTGACGAAATAACATCATCAGGAGTTCATACTTCCATTGTTTTCTGACATGATGCTGTTTTCCGCTTCTGCTTCCCACATTGTGCACTTCCTCCAGCGAGTGTCGCAGTCAGAGCTGCATGCAAATGAGGGCCGGCTGAAGCATCCCCATTGGTCCATTAGCTCTAGATTAACAGCTCCTCCTCCAGCTAATCAGGCGAGGAGGGAAGCTGACGTCACTCTAATGGCGACCAATCCCCACAGGCGAGGACAGAGAAGTGTATAATAATTAACAATCGCTCTTAAATAACAATCTGTGCAGTGCTCACACAACAGAGATGGAGAAGAGGACAGACAGGAGAAACTAAAGAAACCAGAAATAAAGCAAAACAATGAATAACTAACCCTTAAAATAAAAGCCTAACCCAAACCTAATCCTAACCAAACCCTAACCTGACCCAACCTTACCCTAACAAACACCCCAGCCCTAACCCTTCCTTCAAAATAAAGGCCTAACCCAACCCTTACCCTAACAAACACCCTAACCCTTCAAAATAAAGGCCTAACCCAACCCTTACCCTAACCCTAACAAACACCCTAACCCTTCAAAATAAAGGCCTAACCCAACCCTAACCCTAACAAACACCCTAATCCCAAAACAAAATGTTTAGAGGAACTGGGAAAGCAGAAAAAGCAGAAAAAGAAAGAAAGAGCTGAGATTTGGCCTCATTAATGAAAGATAATTATTCCTCTATTTTCTATATGTCTAACTCTAAACCCTAACCCTGACTGATGATAATTTATTAACGAACCCGATTATCTATCCACCCTTTATCTATCACTAACTTACTCCGATATTTACAAATGTTTCATCAATGAGGACCAATGAATTTCTACAAACGAGCACAGGATTTCCACAACATTATCAATGAGCTTAATAATATCAATAAATCTATTACAAAGTCCAACTCTAAACTACACTTGCGTCCATAAACACTATCTAAATCCCCCAGTCTTGACTAAAATGCTGTTATTTACCAAACCCTGCGGTTAAAATTAAACTATTTGAGCTGCTGGTTTATGTTAAAGCTAATCTGCAGAAATCCAGCGCTCGCTTGGAGAACAAGTGAAAGAAGAAGAAAGCAGAAAGATGAGAGCAGCAGCACTAGAAATAATCCTCATCAGATCTGACAAATCCACAGCTGGGCTAAAATCTGTCTGTGGCAGGAGGCTCTTATATCTAGCGTATCGGCCCATATAATCCTGCCCCGTCAGCGCCATCTACACCACCCTATCCTATCTGTTAAAGAGAAAACGCCTTCAAAACCGGCCCACGACGCCCCTGTTATATGCGCTTATCTCACGTAAACCTGCCTAAAGTCCCGTTAGAGCTACAAGCACGGTCTAAACCAGGCTTTCTGTCTTTATAAAGTATTGACGCACTACAGTAATAATACACAGACTTTACCATTTAATATTAATCCTACAGCTAGAGAAATAAACCACACCAGTATGCTAATAAATCCCCCTTTCCAGCAGTTTCATTTATTAATCTGTGACTATTTCCCTTAATATGACTATTTACTCTACAGTCGGTGCTAACCCAGTTCATATCAAACACTACGTCCTGTCTAAACGTGAATGAACCTGCTTTCCTTTACTTATTTCAAACGATTAATGCTGTCCTGCCGCAGACACATTCTACCCCAGCTGAGGATTAGCGCTAACACTCAATCTCCGGCGTCGCCTGTGCGCATCGGCCGCCATTAGACTGACATCAGCTTCCTTCCTCACCTGATTGGCTAAAGGAGGAGCTGTCGGTCTAGAGCTGGTGGACCAATAGGGACGCTTCAACCGGCCCTCATTTACATGCAGCTCTGACTGCAACACTCGCAGGAGGAAGTGCAGAATTTGGGAAGCAGAAGCGGAAAACAGCAAAACAATCTGACGTAAATGGAAGTATAAAACCTGTTTCCTGCTGCTGATGGGCTCTACGTCATGCTGAACCACTTGTGCTCTATAATCTCCTCTAAAACAGGTCCTGTTCGAGGGTGGTAACTGATTATCCACCGAAGAAGATCCTTGCATTCTGCAGAAATAGTAAAGAGAGAACATGTTAGTCATGGATGCTCTTGATGATGATACAACACAGAGATTTATTCAATGGTCTGGTGAAATTCTTGATTCTGATTGGCTGGAAGTCGTCCAATAAAATCATTAAATACACAGTTAGTTTCAGTCAGTTATTAGCACAGTTCCAGATGAATGCGCCACACTCAAACATTAGCAGTAACCAACTCGGTGACCATCGCTGAAGCTTTCATTGGACGTGTGCTTCATCTGGAGCCAATGGGGATCAACCAACTCGCAAATACGAGATGATGAAGCTAACACATGTTACTATGAGCTATAATATCAAACACACGACGAGTCATATCAGACGGAGATTTAGTCAAATATTGTGCTGCAATACTACTTTAATTTGGAAAATGACCATGTAATAAGTGGGATTATCATTGCATTACTGTGTGCTTTTGCCTCTGCATTTAAAATCCTTTAGCATGCGGCAGTCTACTGACTATACAGCACTTGTATGAAAATTGCTATTTAATTGTGCATTTATTTGTTTTTAAAATAAATAATGTTATTTATGAATTTTATGGAAAATTATAGTAAAAAAGACAATAAATTGTGCATCTAATCTGACAGCTTTTATTTACAGACATGATGTCCAGCTGTTTCCTGTCCAACTGTTATACATATTGGCCTGATAAACACATTTTAAGTAATAATTTAAAATGAATACACATGAAGATAGACTAATATGGCAGGGTTGTATACTAAACTAGCAGTATTCCACTGTATTTCATAGGCAGGCAGAGCCATTTGAGTTCTGGATGAGTGAAATCGGCTCAACACACCTGTTTACTGTGGTACAAACCACTTTCTATACTCCAGTACATTTTACTTTTCTCATTCACAATGGCCTAAATATAAACATATAAAAATAATACAGGCTAATTTACATGTTTCATAATCATAATATAAGTCAAAATCAGAAATTAATTTGAGTCCGATGATGTCACATGACGTGCAGGTAAAATGAGTGCATTCACTGAGTGCTTCTGTGCATGAAGGTGTGCTGTAGTTAATGCCACATGCACCGTCATGTGTTTTATATTCAGAGTTCATTTTGAAATAACATAGTGAAATGTTGGTTAAGAGTTACATGTTCGCTGGAGGAAACAGCTGTGATGATGAGAGGAGCGCTGAGGAAATAGTAGATGGGAAACCCGATTGGGGTACAAGTGATACAAGAGTTTCTACAGCAAAGAACTGCAAACATGCTGATATTATACCAGTCTACCGATAAACACACAGCTTCTGCTCTCACTCGGAACGGCTTTGCTGATTAAATGAAAAATGAGTTAAAAACGGAGGAGCTGAAGTCTGCTGCCGTTTTCATATGAAATTGAAAGGGGACTGAGGCGATAATTTAGCTGTGGACCATTCATGAGTAAATCCCAAAACCTTTAGGGGGGCTGAGTGAAAATAAGAGGCCTAGCGACACCCATGAGCTGCACCATGTGTAGTGCTGTTTTCTCACCTGCTGACAATCTGGGGTGAAATCGTGGACGTTTATATCTGGAGTAAGGGAAATATCCATTGACCATATAGGACAGCATTAGTAAAACAGCCATGACATGTGAATCAACAGCAAAACGAATGGATCTGTAGGGTTCCCCCTCCTGTAGACGGTATCTCGTTACTCCTGCAAGGTAGAGATTTTCATGTTAGTAATTACAATATCTTTGCCCTCTTGACATCGCCATACATACACAGGAGATTACAGATGAAGGGTCAGTTCACCCAAAAAAGTAATTGTTATTAATTACTCAGCCTCACGTCGTCCTAAACCCCTGAGACCCACGCTCAGCTTCTGAACACAAATGAAGATGTTTTAGAAGAAACACGAGAGCTCTCTGACAATATTTGCCTTCAGTAGTTTAACTGAAAATCATGACTTTATTGAACAGTTTGTTGTCCTCAGTGTCAGTATATTGCGCACACTCAGAAGAGCTCTGTGTAGTGGCGTACACCGCTGATGTCCTCCTCTGATTGGAAGAAAGCACAGGCGCATCCGAGATGATACATCAGCAGTGCAACTGAGAGCAACATGCGTGAAAGCCTCAAAGCTGTCCTGATTGTGCGCAATATACTGACACTGAGGATGAGAACCTGTTCAATAAAGTCGTTATTTTAGCTTTATGTGGAAATAAAAGTATTCTCAGAGTCTGATAATGCTCTGATTGAACCACTAAAGGCATACGGTCTGTTTTGAGGATGCTTTAGGGTCCTTTTATAGACCCTTGCTGTCTATAGAGCTCTCAGATTTCATCTTAAATATCTTCATTTGTGTTCAGGGGTCTCAGATGTTCAGGACGACATGAGAGTTATTCATTACTAAAACTATCTTCATTTTTATGTGAACTTTCCCTTTAATAAGCAGCACTTAAAAGGCAACTCACCAAGATAGGGGGATCTCCAGTAGCCTTTTTGAGTATAATAACTGTTGCCAAAATCAATCAGCTTGAGCTGCAGGGTCTTTGGATTGACCAGGATGTTTTCTTTATGTATGGACTCATGTTCTATGCCATGCTCAAGGCAGCGCTGTGTTGCGATAATGAGCTGCATGATCAGCTGCCGCGCAACACTCTCACTCAGGAGGCCATTGTTCTTCCTGATGAATTTATCCAAGGTTATGTACGAGGACGCGTACTCCATGACCAGGTAGTTATTCCTTCCCTCCATGGCGTACTCGTACAGCTCAATGATGTGCGGGCAGAGCGGAGGTTCCTTGAGGACCATCATATGATATGCTTCCGGGATAGTACGTCCATTCTAGAGAAAAATCAAGTCAGGAAAAGGTTTGATGTGAGTGTCAAATATATAAATGACATTATAATGTGTCACTAGCTGTGTTTCCATATAAAGATGCAGATTACATTTATGCGCAACACAAATAAAGATTCACGAATAAAGCAGCGTTTCCATCAATGAGTCAAAGAGAACAAAATCATCACTGCCTTACAAACTGGCGGCAAATATCAGTCAGAGAAATGAGTTTCGCTTAAGAAGACCAAACGAAATGAACACGGTGAATGCGGTGGCTTTTGGAGACGTGAGACGGGAGCACAGACAGATGCTCAAGACTATTCTGGAGGGAATGATACTAGAAGAAGGCCTGATACTAGAGAATGATACTAGAGGGCTGAGGCCTTTTACAATCAGCAGAACAACATTTCAGATCTGCAACAATGGAAAGCTGCAAACCAACATTACTGACGCAAAAACCCTCAAACACACATTTATATCATCATGTCTTATAACACAATCACATTACTGTTTTTAAGTGCATGCTGGAATTTATTTGGTAAAAATGCTTCTAAACTAGTTTTTGCACATTATTTCCTCTGGAATCAAATTTTCTCTTAGTCAATTATGTGCATGAGAACATGTATGTGCATCTTGGCGTTTTCATAAAGCTTTGTTTATGTGATAATCCTAAATGCGCATGAAACAGGTGGATGGAAACAGAGCTATTTTCACATATTACCTCAAATTCAACACTACATGTGACCCTGGACAACAAAACCAGTCTTTTGTCACGCAGATATATTTTGGGGAAAACTCAAAATGATGACTTCAGGGTATCTGCACATATTTAACAGGAAATTTAATAACTTTTAAGACCTTTTAAAATCCTCTAAGAGGAAAATTGAAGACTTTACCTAAACCAGGGGTCGGCAACCCAAAATGTTGAAAGAGCCATATTGGACCAAAAATAACAAAAAACAAATATGTCTGGAGCCACAAAAAATGTAAAGCCTTATATAAGCCTTATGAAGGAAACACATGCTGTATGTATCTATATTAGCCTACTATCAAAATGACTAAATTGGCTACAAATACATAATGAGCCTTCATGATTAAATAGCTTAGATTAAATTAAATTTGTTGTCATTAAAACACTTCAGCACAGCCTCTTGTCTTTTAGTGTTATTAATTTGATCACTTCTTCTTGCAGCCCATCAGAGTTCACATACCTGCATAAAAGCGCGTTGAATATCGGTCACATCACAGGCAATTGAGTATGCTGGCACTGAATTAATGTCCTTGGTTTGCTGATCGGTGATATTACCTACCATTTTAATAGCCCTTTCCTTCACTGTCTTAGTGGAGAAAGGTATATCTTTATTTTTTTGAATTATCTTGGTTTTGTTTTTAAAGTTTGCAAATAGGTGTTCTAATATGTCATACCATCTTTGAACGGTTTTCCATGCTTTATAATCTCCTGGTTTGTTTACAACAGCCACTTGCCTGGCATCCCACCCTGCTGATAGAAACGTGTGTCGCAGGCTATGACGCAAATCTTCGTTGACAGAAATGTTGAAATTAAATATTAATTCTACACACTTTGACAGCATTTGAAAATGTTAATAATGTTTGTCCTCCTATAGAAATCATATTAAAACAAAAAAATATATTAACCTCCCCCATCTTTTTGCATTTTCAAACATTTTTGAAAAAGCTCCAGGGAGCCACAAGGGCAGCGCTAAAGAGCCGCATGCGGCTCTAGAGCCGCGGGTTGCTGACCCCTGACCTAAACAAAAAACACAACAGGAAAATGTTCAGTGTGACTACACAGAATGATGTGTTGAAGCATTAGCAAAACTCACCAGAGCCACGCTCAAGACAGGTCAAAGGGATGCGAAAACTTTGTACGAGTGGTGGCAGCTTACGGTTTGAAACACCCACAGTATTTCGGCCTTAAGTGCAGCTACATTCGCAAAGCTGCTGAAGGCATTGCTTGAAGTGGACGGCCTTGTGAAAGGCTGAGAGGTCGAAGTGCTCGATGAGAACATACTTATGGGCAAACTACTTGCCTGCGACATACTTCTTGTGCTTCTCTGCTTTCATGTGTGAATAGAGCGCTTTATGGCACATTGTCCCCAGTTTTATCGTCTTTTAACATAAAGCACACTTCCCTTCATGATTTCTGGCAGTTTTTTAGCCACCCCTGATACTTTTCGTCCTCCAACCAATTGTCATCAAACAAACATTTGCCCATGCTTGCGATTTCGCAAAATGCCGAGGTGGCGAACCAACAACACAACGCTTTCATCAATCACTTACTCGTATGTCACCTATAGAATGATGCAGGTTGCACCCACGAAGTGCTGCCCCCAAATGTTGCGCTGGTCAAATTGCGGTTGAAAAAATCTAATAAAAATGACGAGTCAGACATGAAACTTAAGATCCCACATGAAATTTAAGACCTCCTTATGGAAAATTACAAATCGAAAAAATCTGAAATTTTATTTAAGACGTTTCAAGACTTTTTAAAGACCCGCGGGGACCCTGGACTTCAATTACGTAAAGATTTGGTTTCAATATATAATTTGTGCATTTCTTATTGATCTGATGTGGGGCAGTGGGTAGAACAATCACCTCACAGTAAAAAGGTCGCGGGTTCGACCCCCGGCTGGGTCAGTTGGCGTTTCTGTGTGGAGTTTGCATGTTCTCCCTGCATTCGCGTGGGTTTCCTCCGGGTGCTCTGGTTTCTCCCACAGTCCAAAGACATGCGGTACAGGTGAATTGGGTAAGCTAAATTGTCTGTCGTGTATTTATGTGTGTGAATGAGTGTGTATGGGTGTTTCCCAGTGATGGCTACAGCTGGAAGGGCATCCCCTTTGTAAAACATATGCTGGATAATTTGGTGGATCATTCCGCTGTGGCGACCCCAGATTAATAAAGAGACTGAGGAGAAGGAGTTTACATGGAAATGTGAAATGTAGTTTAAGTTATTAACTTTAAAGCTGATTTTCCCAATATTAAGATTTTCTTCATGTTCCAGATTGTCAAACAGCCGCATCTCCATCAATATTGTTCTAACAAAGCAAACATTATCAAAAAGCCTCTTTATTGATCTCTCAGATGATACGCAAATCTCAGTTTCTGGACATTATGACTGGTTTTGTGCTCCACAGTTCATCTGCAGAAACAGATAACCCCCAGTTCTAGACATTTCCAGAAACTCTGTAATATTCTCAGTACAAACAAGATTTCTGGAAATGACTAAACACGTGCAGTTTCAGCCATTTCCATAAAGCGTGTAAATAAAAACACACGACATCTCAAAATGACTAAACATGGAGGTCATCTGTTCTCTTCATATATTTTCAGTAGAGTATGCATACTTACCATAGTGTACCAGTATCCGAAACTCCTTAAGTCCTTATTCACAACTTTTATGGCAACCTGCAAAGAAAGCATAAAGTCAAAACTTATTTAAGCCAGAGAGATGTCTGATCTGACCTGCATAAAACACACACACACACACACACACACACACACACACACACACACACACACACACACACACACACACACACACACAAAGACCACTGCAGAGTTGAAGTGACCGTTACCTTCTGGCCGTCAGATTTCCGTGTAGCCAGATAGACAGTGCCACCGTTTCCCTGTCCCAGCTTCTCTCCAAGCACATATTTGTCAAGTATAGATCCTGGAGTAAAGTGAATCACATTTATGACATTATTTCTGTGAGTGTTCTGCTCTAATCCTGAGATATTTCTGTAAAACTATAAAAAAAAATCCAAAACCCGACTGCAGATTAGACAGAAATCATTATGACAGAAGACAGACCTGAGCTGCTGTTTTCAGCTGAGCTGCTGTTTTCAGTTGGGCTGCTGTTTTCAGCTGAGCTGCTGTTTTCAGCTGAGCTGCTGTTTTCACCTGAGCTGCTGTTTTCAGCTGAGCTGCTGTTTTCAGTTGGGCTGCTGTTTTCAGCTGAGCTGCTGTTTTCACCTGAGCTGCTGTTTTCAGTTGGGCTGCTGTTTTCAGTTGGGCTGCTGTTTTCAGCTGGGCTGCTGTTTTCACCTGAGCTGCTGTTTTCACCTGAGCTGCTGTTTTCAGTTGGGCTGCTGTTTTCAGCTGGGCTGCTGTTTTCAGCTGGGCTGCTGTTTTCAGCTGGGCTGCTGTTTTCAGCTGGGCTGCTGTTTTCACCTGAGCTGCTGTTTTCAGCTGTGCTGCTGTTTTCAGCTGTGCTGCTGTTTTCAGGTGAGCTGCTGTTTTCAGCTGGGCTGCTGTTTTCAGGTGAGCTGCTGTTTTCAGCTGGGCTGCTGTTTTCAGGTGAGCTGCTGTTTTCAGCTGGGCTGCTGTTTTCAGGTGAGCTGCTGTTTTCAGCTGGGCTGCTGTTTTCAGCTGGGCTGCTGTTTTCAGCTGCAGTTTTCCCGCCGCTGCTGCCGCCATGTTGGATCTCTGCTGTTTTCATTTGTTTGGCAGCCACAGTGTCCTGATTTCTGCTGTCCTGATCAAGACATTCAGCCTTTCTCTTCTGTCCTCTTAGAGCTGATGTGGATTACAGTCAATAATAAATTATTAATGAGCCGTTCTTTCATTATTAGTATTACGCATTATTAGTATTATTAGACGTTTTACTCTGTCATAAAACTTTGCTGAGAAACGCTTTGCACAATACTGCATAGTTCCCAGTTTAAGGCACATCATGTAAGACTTTTATATTTATTAACAGTAGTATATACTCTGCTGAATCCTGTACTTATATTCTGCCAAACATCATGAAAAATGCTCAAATGCAGAGAAATCATCAGCGATCATGAGAATAACTGTGGCATAATAAAAGCTCTGCTGCCGCTTCACTGTCGTCTCTCATCAGCAACTGCTTCAGCATTTCTCAGATTTCACTTCACTGCTTTTAGCCTTACTCTGCTTCAGACTCCATGATAATACTTTACTCATCCATCAATCATTATTGACAGCATTATTATTGCTCAAAATTTGCAGCAGTGCTAATAGTTTTCCAGCATTTTCCAGTCATAAAGAGTGGACTGACCTGAGCTGGACGCCTCTGTGTCGGCGGCGTCTCTTGTGTTCTCCAGCTCTGCAGCTTTGATGCGTTTCCTCAGAGCGTATGGTTTGCCTTCACCAGAAACACTCTGAAAATCATCATCCGCTTTCCGCTTCACTCCTCTTCCTCCTAATGTGGATGACAACACAACAAACAATAGACTCTTAAATGAAAACCATCATGTCTTTTATTGCCATATCTTCATTCCAGAAAATCTGGAATCTGAGGATTCAAACATCTAAATATTAAGAAAATCACATGTAAGAGGATAAAAGATCAATAAAAAGTAAGCTAAATTAATAGACTGAATTAGCGGATCAGAGCGCACATTCATAGTTTTAAGTCACATGACTGAAATAACTCAAACTATATTCACAATAATAACTCAAAACAAATGTACAGATAATGAAAATGAAAATAAAAACATCACAAAAGAGCTTTGATCAAATCATGAATGAGGATTTTCTTTAAAATATTGTGATATTATCATATATGTCAATATAGCGCCTCTACAGCCTCATAATGCACACTGACCTGAGCTGCTGTCTTCTGCTGCAGTTTTCACTCGTTTGGCAGCAACTGTGTCCAGATTTCTGCTGTCCTGATCTAGACATCCAGCCTTTCTCTTCTGTCCTCTTGGAACTTCTGTGGATTACAGTCAATAATGCATTATTAATGAGCCGTTCTTTCATTAATTGGCATTTATTGTATTTGGGGATCTGTTCAAATGGCAGCAGTGCTAATAGTTTCCAGATGTTTTGTCATGAAGCTCTACTGAGAAACACTTTGCACAAAACTGCATCATTCACAGTTTTAAAGGTGCATTATGAGACTTTTTCCATTAAAATCTCCAAAAACCACTAGAAGAGTGATTCATGAATTCAGTCCCATTCAGGAATTCTCTCGCGGTGCATTATGGGATAGTGTAGCGTCCACTGGATGCGCACTTCAGAATCTCTCCAGTTGTAGTAGGTCATCCGGGTACTTCTCACATGCTGTTTTACAAATACTGTGAGGTCAGACATACTACTCGGCTCACATACTGTCTTAATGTACTATTTAGTATGGAAGTGTGTGATTTTAGACACAGCCAGTGTGTGTGTTCATGCTAATGACGTCACACATCCTCTATTTCTGCTCTGTTTGTTTAGCGAGGTTTTAATATGTTTGTGTTTTATTTGACAGCACAGAGCAGCATTATAACAGAAGCAAAACATGTATTTAGTCTGATAAAACAGCACACGTGATCACGAGCTGAAGAACCAGACGCGCTGGACTGTGGCATAATAAAAGCTCTGCTGCTTTGTGTCGTCGTGCACTGTGCCTTTAAGCTGACATATATATGCTCATACAACTGTAGAAGAGTGACGGGAGACTGACCTGAGCGGCTGTTCTCATCGCTGGACGTCTCTGCAGCTTTGATGCGTTTCCGCAGAGCGTATGGTTTGACTCTGTCAGAAACACTCTGCAAATCATCATCCGCTTTCCTCTTCACTCCTCTTCCTCCTGATGTGGATCACAGTCAATAATGAACTATTAATAATCAGTTCTTTCATTAATTGCTGTTTATTTTACTCTGGGATTTAACAAATGACAGCACTGCTAATAGTTTTCCAGCATTTTCCAGTCATAAAGAGTGGGCTGACCTGAGCTGGACGCCTCTGTGTCGGCGTCTTCTCTTGTGTTCTCCAGCTCTGTAACTTTAATGCGTTTCCGGTGGGCAGATGGTTTGCCTCCACCAGAAACACTCTGAAAAGCATCATCTGCTTTCCGCTTCTCTCCTCTTCCTCCTAATGTGGATGACAACACAATGAACAATAAACTCTTCAATTAATCGTCATGTTTATTTATTGTCATATCTTCATTCCAGATTTCTGTTGCGATCTCAAATAAATTAAAGATTGAGAAAATCACCTTTAAAGTGGCCAAATTAAGTTCAAATCAACAATTGAGTTCTGACATGTTTACAGTAGAAAGTGTTGAACTTAATGAAACATGATCATAACATAATAATTGAATAATTTTGGGCATAATAGATAAATCAATCACTTTGATCCAGACAATGTATTTTTGCCTATTTGCCAAAATATCCCCATGCTCACTGGATTTACCAGCTAACTGAGTCAATACTTTGCATGCTGCTTCACGGTTCGTACAAATTCCATGAGTTTTCCAGGACTTTAAAGTCAATTTTCATGACCTAATGTTTAATGTAATGTCTACATATATGTGGTAAACCATAAAAAAAACGTTAAAATTTATTACAGCATATCATAAAACACACAATAGTTTAAATTTATTTTAATATCTATGTAAAACAGATGATGCTTACACAGCACTAATAATGCGAGAGCGTGTTTTTGGCCAAGAAAATAGGCAAAAACAACTAAACCTTATTCCAATATACAGACATATGTCAAACTAATTTGAGATCATCTTAATAGTCTGTTAAACTAGTAATAGTAGATAAAACTACTTCTATTGTAAAGCTGCGGTCACGCTGCACTTTTCTCTCCATAGACTGACATTCATAGGCATGCGAATACAGCAGACCAGAAATACAAGCACGTGTTTCGCATTTCACTGCATACGAAAGCTCAAGTTCTTACCTGCGAAATCACATCAGGTGATTGAGTGAGACCAATAGAAGGTCACTTAAAATATGGAGCAATAATAATAATAATAATAATAATAATAAATATAATAATAATAATGACTAAATGTAAATGTAATTTCCATGACTTTTCCAAAACCTTTCCAGGCCTGGAAAATGCCATGACAAAATTCCATGACTTTTTCAGGTTTCCATGACCGTATGAACCTTGCTGCTTCATGTTTCAGAAGTTTAAGTGGTAACACATTATGGTGATGAAGCTGTAGAAGTGTTGATCTGTGGCAGGAAACACACCTGAGCTGGTTTTCTCCTGAAAACTGGTCATCTCAGTGTCTCTTGTGTTCTCCATCTCTGAAACTTTGATGCGTTTCCGCAGAGCGTATGATTTACCTCCACCAGAAACTCTCTGAAAATCATCATCCGCTTTCCGTTTCTCTCCTCTTCCTCCTAATGTGGATTACAACACAACAAACATAAACTTTTACAATGTACAAATACAAGGCAGATGATCTGAAGTGTTGATCTGTGACAGGACACACCTGAACTGGTTTTCTCCTCATAGCTGGTCATCTCTGTGTCTCTTGTGTTCTCCATCTCTGAAAGTTTGATGCGTTTCCTCAGAGCATACGGTTTGCCTTCACCAGAAACACTCTGAAAATCATTATCCGCTTTCCGCTTCATTCCTCTTCTTTCTCCTAATGTGGATTACAACACAACGAACAATAAACTCTTAACCTAAATCCTGATGTTTAATGTCATTAATTCAACCAGATTTCAATTGAAAAAATCTGAGAGTTCCAAATCCAAACATTGGGAAAATCACCTTTTAAATTGTCAAAGTTCTTAGCAATGCTTATTATAAATATCAAACATTATCAAGTGTTTTTTAAAATAAATTTATTGTAGCAAGTCTGTTTATAATCTTAATGAAACATGAACATAATATTCTCATGTTTTTGTGTTTCTTTGTCATATTTCATGCCTGTAGCCGGGGGTGTCCTATACATGAGCTCAACTGTCCTATTTTGACTGTTACATCATCATAAATTGTGAAAATAACCCATTGAACCAAGCCGATCATTCTAAATCTTTAGGAAATATTTTGGTTAATTGAAAGATGTGGTTATGATGACCATCCGACAAGCTAATCCAGCTTAAAATGTCACTAAAATGCAATATTTAAGCCTCATGAAAGAGGCAAAAACTGCAAAAAGGTCTACATTTTGGTAAAAATAAAGAATCAGCTCTTTCACCAGACTGACTCCGGGCCTGTATTTGTCATGTGTTTGGCTGTTGCCAACATAAGACCTGGGTCCTGAGTCACAGTTTTGCTCGTTTGCACAATTAAATTATCATTCATTATTAGTATGGTATAGCTGCCCGTGTATTAAAATGAACATTTTCACCATTATACATTATAAATCATTATATATTCGTTAGGAAGAGTTTGACTTTGACTCAAGTATTGTTATCTGCATTTTACTCTGGTGTTTTTGTATTAAACTGACTGATGTTGTTTGCTAAAACACTGAATCTGCATTTATATTCAGGATTCTCTGAAAACACCTCTGTGTACCGTCAGGTTATGGAGTTATGATCGCCATATTTCGGCTAAACAAACACAGCTGAATATACACACAAACGGTTTAAAGCTGTTTTCATTTGTAAAAAGACCGTCAAATTGATTTTTAGCAGTGTAATATTGCATGGTCGTAAGTAAGAGTCCAAAATAAGTATTTCTAGAGAGTAAAATTAGAGTTTTAGTATCAAACATTTAATAATATAAAACAGGCAAATATGAAACACACGTGTTCTTAGTGTCTGGACTTACCCGTCAAGGTCTTACAACTTTCGATTCCTGCTAGAAACTTGAAAGGTCTTGTAGACATCGTCTGAAATCGCTCAACTGTTTTGCTCGATGTGTTTATCGACCGAGAGCAACTTTTACAATCAACCTTCATTTCTTGTTCCTGCAGATTACTGAAGCCGAGTTTACGCGCGTCAGCAGACCATGTAGAACCGTTAGAACGCGTTCTGCTGTTGCCAAGCAACACGTCGTCTTCCGCGAGTGTATGTGGTTAATGTGACCTTCTTTACCCTATAAAGCAGCACGAATCATATTTAATACACAAGTTTATAAGATCTGTATAATATCATACTGATCATTATTTTGCTTGAAACCCTGTTGTATAGTTTGATGCCTGTATTTTGCCCTCTTGTGGATTTTCATGACACTGCAGGCAGTGGAAGAGCTTTTTTGACCTTTTCAAAATGGCTGTTCTCATTGAATTGCTCCCAAGCTTTATATGATTAAATAAAGGTTTTCTTGATTAAAACGAACCATAATTACTTAAGTCAATCTTTATGTTACAAATATTATACATAAAGAATGGGGGGGGGGGGGAATTATTCAGTCTATTTTTGTCATGCAGCACTCTGCAGTCTTCATAAACAAGCTAATTAAATAACTTAAAATAATCTTCCATCTTAATTTGACAACTAACCTTGTATTGTAGGATACACATTTTTAACATTCAAGTACATTAAAGCACATTTTTGCACCTGCACTATAAAAAATGATTTGTTAGTTTGACTTTAAAAAGTTACCTGGTTGCCTTAAATTTTTGAGTTTATTGTAATTATAAGTATGAGTTATAATAACTTGAGTGATTATGTTGTTTCAACTAATTTTACTAATATTTTGTGTTGTATCCACTTCTTTAAGCAGTTTAAGTTGACTTACAAATGTAAGTGCACTCAACTTAATGGTGTAAAATTGTTGAGTAAACTAATTTAAGACAACTTAATCCATTTGACTGCTTCAAGAAGTTGATATAATATAATTCGAAGTTATATGAATAAAAGATTTGTCAACTCAACTAAAAATAGTTTGTTGAAAAAAATAACTGAAAAAGTTACCTGGTTGCCTTAAAATATGAGTTAAACCAACTAAATATAGCTTGTTGTAACAACTAAGACGTTTACACGGTTGACCTAAAATTATGAGTTAAATGAATTTACCACAGGTTAATACGACAAATGGATTTAAAAAAGAGACCAAGAACGTCAACACAAATAAACTGTAATAACATTTATTATAACTTCAAGAAAATATTTTCATTCACGCAGAAGTACAGTCATCAATTCAATACATTCATATTAAATCTCCTTGAAGCAACAGGATACAACCTGTAAGTTCAAACACCACTGAAAAAAATCATGCCAAGTTATAAATCAATCGTTATAAAGAATTTCTCAAACAGCATTAAAATTAGGCCTCTGAAATGTTTCTTCATCTATTTAACATTGTAAAGGTTTACACCAATACAAAAACATTTATAATGAAAACTGTTTACAACTGATTTTGTTCTCTCATGCTGAAACTGATATTCAACGCTCTGCAAAAGTTCATGGAGTAAGAAAGAAACTCTTAAGTGTTTAGTGGGTTTTTGCTCACGCATGCACTTACTGATATCCATGCTGTTCATTTAACTTTAATGACTAAATCTCAATCCAGTGTGACGAGTTGCTCACACTTAATGAGAAGGAGAAAATGTGTTCGATGATAAGCAACTTTAATCTAAGTGATTGTTTTTCTTGTTCTCGCATTACACAATTCCCACCACTCTCATTGAGTTAATATAAAAACAGTCTGCTAGAACTGCAGTTTAACACAACCTGAGTTTGTTTATACATTTTAAAGAGTTTATTTTAATGCTGTTTGAGAAATGCATTTTACTGTTTCTTGAGATTTCTGACTTGTTGAATTTTTGTTAAACCGCAATTGTAGCACAGAGTTGATATAGAATGTGTGTAACAGAATGTCTGCTACTGTGCAATATGAAGTGTAATGTGAGACAGAGAAAAAAAATAAAGCTTATTATCCAGAAAATGTTTCCCTTTTCATGAAGTGTAAGCGACTCGTTACACTGGATTGAGATTTAGTCCTTAACGCTGAAGGAACAACATAAATATCAGTAAATTTGAGCATCCACTAAACACTTAAGAGTTTAAATCTACTCGGTGAACTTTTGCAGAGCATTCTTCACCACCAATTTTCATGATCTCTTTTTGGAGGATGAGATAAGTGATTTTCAGGGCAAGAAGAATCCCTATTAGCATAGCAAAGACATTTGACTTCCCTGAGGCCAACGTACAACCTCTTCCTCTCACACCACAGCCACATTCATTATTTCCATTGGATGAAGATTCGAGGTGTTCTCCTCTATGACTATAAATAGTCCAACATTTATCACTGCCTCTTCTGCCTCATTCAGACTAGCAGCGATTTTGTAGCTGCCTGTCGCTCTGGGTGGCGACCTGCTTCAAACGCAGATCTGTGTAGGTCTATACAGCACGAATACAAGCAGCCTCTGAGCGAGCTGAGAGAGGATCACGTGAGCTCTACTGGTGCTCCTATAGAGTGGAGGAACCATGACGTCACCTTGTAGGCGAATCGGCTGCTAGCATAAAACTTTTTTTTTTTCCCATAGGCTTTTCGAAGATTACTTATATTAAGCTTAAGTGTTCAGACACTGTTCATTACATTTACACTCTTTGTCCAGGCGGATAATCCTCACACGAAAATACATATCATTTTTAATTTTACATCACTTTTCTACATTGATGGATCAGTGACCGCATGGGCATTCCTGACAAAAAGCTTGTGTTTGTGTGGACAGAAATGTACTATCCACCCTCCCTGTTAAATTTGATCAAATCCGTGTCCTGAAACACAGCTCCTCTCCTGCTTTCACTGCTCATACTGACGGAGGGAGCGATTAGTTTGTGAATGAATCTCTGTTATGAACGACTCGTTCACTAGCCGAAAATATTTCAAGTTTCTGGCAGCGCAGCATTTCGTTGTCATATTTCTTTTGCATTGTTTGCTGATTTTATTCAACAAAACTAGCATAAGTCGAGTGTTTAGTGCGAGTTGGAGCTGCTTTGCCTCATGATGAATGCAGTAAGTGACTGTATTATCATCAATAACGCTACCTGATTAGCACAAATTTCAGAACATACAAAAACATAAACAACTTAATCTTACCTATGTAATGTTCTGCCTTTGTGCTTAGTTTTCTTTGTTTGCTCGTTACTACACTCGTAGACAGCGCTACAGTCCCGCAGTCTTGACTAGTGCGGTTGAATGACATTTGTCCTGGGAGCACTGTACCAATGTGGCGGCGCTATAGACGCATGCTCAGGGTCCCTATGCGATATCTAGTGTATATATCTATGTCACAAATTGAGGAGCGGGGAAAGGAGGCGGAGTGGAGCGACAACGCGGGGAATCCTTCACAAACTGAGGAGCGATCACAAACCGAAAGCGGCCAGAGCGTCAAAGTAGCCAGAAGTCATTCATTTTTTAACGAGAACCGGCGGCGAGAAACAGCGGCGCGTCTTCATTGGCTATGACGCTGTTCGGCGGCAAGCAATCAGAATGAAGTAGTCCACCGCTTGAGAGGAGTTCAGAGAAGACAGACCTATGAACTTTGGTTCCGACCACAGTTGTTCCCAAGAGTTTGATTATTGCGGTTCCTGGATTTTCAATTATTGAAAATCGCGACGACGTGGGGCCCCCTGCACGACAGTTAAAAATGAATCAGTTTTAAGCAGAGGTATGCCCACATCAGATAGCGTGTATGAGGATAACTCATCGTTTCATTAATGGTAAATGGATTTTAAAGTGACAATTTACCGCAAGAAGCAAGTTGTCATTTACTCATCCTCCATATGATCCAAACCAGTTTCCTTTCTCTGTTGAACACAAAGTTAGACAGATGAAGAAAACAGCCCCTGACTTCCATAGTATTTTTGTTCCTACTATAGAAGCCAATGGCTGTTTATTTTCTCAGTAATGATTAAATCACACTGAACTGAGCTAA